TTTTTTTTAGAGACAAAGGATGAAATATAATTTTCTGTAAGAAAGATTCTGCTAAGGTACAGAAGATGGTATTGTAATATTTATATTTGAAATAGTAAATTAGAATGGTTTAAGATTTAATAAGAAATTAAAATGTTGAAGTTTTTAATAATGATTGATTTTTAAAATGTAATAAAATATCGAAGGAAAGGAGGATACAATGTATTTAAACATTTTTGGTGGATAGAATGTACCAAGCAGAACCAAATTGGGTATTTGTTATGCTGAATGTTAATTTTACTAACTTAGGGGGAGGATAGAAAGGCATCATACTCTGATTAGTGATTTCAGGAGAAATTTTTTTTTTTTATTATAAGAAGAGATAGAGGGATAATTGAATGGGCAAAAGATACAAATTTAATGATTTAATTAAGATGGATTAAATAAGATAGAAATGTGAAGAGTGATATGTGCTATTATTTTAGCCCATGCAAAGAGAGGTAACTGGGGCCAAGGTACTTTACTAAAAGATTTTTTTTATGTTTGTTTGTGTTTGTTTGTGTTTTATGAGAATATTGGGGAAATTATTGTAGAAAGACAGGGAAAGATTCAATATGTAATGATTTGTTTGTTGTTGAAACTTTTAATAAAACTTGTTTTAATAATAAAAAAAAATAATCCTACAAAACAAATCTCATGCCAACATGGCAAGATAAACCATTTACTATACATGGTTGACTTAAAACTGTATGCAAAAAGTCCCACAGAACTTGAATCAATACTCAACACAGTCCAACTGTTCAGCAGTAACATCAGAATGAACTTTGGACTTGAAAAATGTGCCATATTATCCATGCAGCGTGGAAAAATGGAAAAAATAGAAGGAATAGAACTGGGAAATGGAAGCATGGTGAAAGCATTAACAAAGGATGATGGTTACATCACCTAGGATGATGATATACCTAGGCATATTGGAAGCAGAAAACATATTGAATGGAAAAGTCAGAGTCAACACAAAAGGAGAATCTGCAAAATACTAAAATCAAAACTGAACGGTGGAAACATAATTAAAGCCATTAATACATGGGCAGTTCCAGTGATATGCTACTCAACTGGAATCATCAACTGGACTTTGGTTAAATTGGAAAATTTGGACCGACAAACATGTAAACTTTTGAATATGTACCACACTTTACATCCACAAAGTGACATTGACAGGCTATACCTGCCAAGAAGAATAGGTGGCAGAGGGCTATTGCAAGTCCATCAAACTGTAGAAGAAAAGCAAAGTTTGAATGACTATGTGAACCAAAGTACAGAAGAATACAGCTGCAGGCTGTGAAAATGGAGAACATTATTAAAACAACAGAAACGAAGGCAGAATATAAGGAAAAACAGCTAGATGACAGATTAAATAGATAGAAAACCAAAGCTTTGCACGGACAGCATTTGAAAAACATTGAAGGAAAATGTGATAACAACTTTACATGGGCATGGCTTAAAAGAGGAACCATCAAGAAACAGAAAGTTTAATACTCACTGCTCAAGAACAAGCACTACAAACTAATGCCATGAAACCACTGACAATCCAAACTGTCGACTTAGGCTTTTGTCTATAGGGATTCTTTAATACTTTTTTTATTTGATTCCTTTTCCTATGTAAGTTTGTTTTATGGCTGACCTGATGTTCCCCTTGGGCTTTTCCTGTTTTTGTGACACTACTGTCTTCGTGAAGTTCCCTTTCCACAGTACCATATATAGTAGTTACAGAAAAGCATGCTAATGGTTAATGCCTCTGCTTATAAGGCATGCCTCTGCCGTCTTGTCACAAAAATGCAGGTTTAGTTTGACAAACTGTGCACTGTTTTTCTTCTCCTCCTACACCAACATTCCATGCTTTACTTTTACTTGTATTTAAAACTTTTGTTAATATATCTGCAGTTTAAACTCATTGAAATCATTATGTTGTCAGGTATCCAGATGCCAAATACATCATTGTGAGAAAGTCTAATACATTGTAATGTAAAAATATGATAACATTAGTTAAAAAATCCTAGACTAAAAACAGAGACTGTGAGACTGTACCTCAGTCAACTCTCTCAGCCCAACCCAGTTTTTGTAAGGAAGGATAAAGAGAGCATTGTATCTACTTCCTTGAGTTGTACAAAAGAAAGGTGAATAGAGGTGGGATATAATGCAAATATGCACACACATAATCTTGATCTAAATACTTCCTTACCAACCTACAACTTTATTTTCAGAGCAGGAGTCAACCTGCCTTTGTCCCCAAGGTCAAGACTAATGATAGCTTTAATTACTGTAAATCTATTAAACTGTCGATTTTTCAGTATTATCTTAGAAAGGTACTTGCAAAAACCACAGCAACTCCAGCCCCAAACTCATCACTGACGGTAATCAGATTACCAATACTACAAGATTCCCGTTATAGTTTTTGATCGTTTGTCCAACTATTTATTTGTATTAGGCTGGACTCCCAAGGAGTCTATGGATCTATTTCAGAATCCACCCACAAGTCACTTGGTTTTAGATTAATGGATTCGATTCAGCCTTTTCCTTTTTATTTCCCCAGCGCATTCTCTCGCAGCCGAGCAATGCACACGGACACAGCCTCTACAGAAGAAGAGCCACGTTAAGTTATAGCGACAACAAATTAGGAGTCTAGTAAACCTTTTTTCAACTGACAAAAGTTATCAAAAGGCACAAACTCCTGGGGGGGGGGGGGTTTAACTGTTACAGAGACGCAGAAAGATTTGTAAAATGACACCCACTCGCCGAGTTTTCTTTCCACTTTTTTGTTCCGGCTTACGTGTCACATGGTAGCCGTATCCCAGAATCCCTCAATCAAGATGGTAGCCTCCTGGAGTCAAAGAGCCACATGTTTGTACGGGTGTCCGACTGAATAAAACATTTTTTGCAAGATCTCTTGCAGAGTTTGCCGTCATCGTCCCCTAAAGTAGCTTTTTTTGTTTTAAATTTTCGAACACATGAAGACCAAATCGTCAGCTCATAAGAATGAGAACACGCATCGGGTGAGACACGGGTGCCAGATCAGTTTAATATTTGATTTACCGTAAAGGAGAATTAATACACGCGTTGCTGTTAATTGAATCCTGAATACGGTATTGATTTTAATGGAACTTAGATCTGAAATTGTGACGTCTATTTTCATATTAGAATTATGGAATTAATAGATGTCTTTAGTGGTGCTAAAGTCTAGCTAAATCGTTAGTTTGCGAATGAAAATAACGCCCATTCTGGTTGCCCATATACATTATAATAATGTTTAGTTTAAGAGAGGAATCATCTACAAGTAGGTGAACTGAGCAAATTCGCCCAAACAGAACAATTTATAGTACTAGATTGGGAAGGCTCCTATTTGGGGACTAGAGTAAGTTTTTCAGCCAACTGTGTCACTATCTTAGGCTTATACCATACTATTATTAATTATATCCAGAATGTGGAACATGTGGTTAACTGCAAAAAAGGACATTGACATATGTTTCAGTATCAGAAGATTATAGGGACCATGTGCTTTCAAGTATCATGCCAATATAATAAAAATATTTTAAAGATGCAGTGGCATCAGATTTGACAAAGTATTTTTTTTTTACAATTTGATTTCATGAATTACTGATATTCAGCCAGAGTATCTTCTGTGTTTTTCTTGTAGTTCCTCACCTTTTCAGAACGTTTAAGCAATGTAAACATTGACATTATACATCGCATTGATAGAACAGGAAGCTATGCTGAGGTAAGACCAACAGTCTTAAAGTCATATTGCCTTTCTGAGAATATTGCCATATATCATATTCCTTAGTGATTAGGAATAGTATTTTGTTTACTTGCTGAAATAGCTGCCCTTTAGGATTCTTTCATCTCAGTTGATATAATTGTCCTCCCTCTCTCCCTCCCTCTCTCCAAGTTGGTAACAAAATTACTATCCCTTTTTGGTACATTCTTATATTATTCCCATGATGCAATAAGCTGCCTTGAGTGCCACTGTTAATAGAAAGTTTGAGGTATACATTAAAAAAATTCTATAGCTCCACTGTACAAAAGAGGAACTATGGCAGAAAGACATATGGGCCTCATTGTACCACATCTCAAATTATAAGTGTGTGTGTGTGTGCGCGCACACACGCATGCATAAATAAATATCCCTGGAGAGAAGTTAATGTACCACAAATATTATTTTTTACTTGGACACATGTACAACAACTTCCATGCTAAAATTATGGCATCATGGAAGAATTGTTGTCATGGCTATTATGTACCTTGAACTGAGAGAATTTATTGAATGGATTCTCATTATTTACTCCTAAATGCTATGGTAAACACTATTGTTTTCAATTCAGCAGTAATTATATATGCAGACTCTATTTTAGGCAGATCTGCAACATGTCAAAATCAGCTTCTGAATATGATTGTTTAGTTTTAAAAAGAAGAAACAAATTTTTCAAAAAGAAAAAGAAAATTTACATACATATCCCAATTTACAATTTACATTAACTGTAGAAAGCCTCGTCCTAACGTTCCTTCTCTTCTCTTTTCTTGTCACTCTTTCTTTCTTGGTAGGAAAACAGTGAAAACAAGCAATAGAAGGAAATTAATATCTTACTATAACAAAAATTGGCACTTGGCTTCCTACTATCAAATCATTACTATTGGATTATAAGATATTGCTATAGTCATTGATTTATTAGGATTTTCAGTTCTTTTTGTAATTCATTGGAAAATAATTTCAAATTATATATGCAATAGAATAACCACTGGAATATTTCAGGGTCTTTTGTGTTACATATCACAAAATATTGATCATAAAAAAATATTGTTTGTATGCCTTATTCTTTGAAAAATAATATGTATGTCTACTGATTAATGTATATGCTTGATTTTGGTAGGAGGTTGAGACCTATTTTCATGAAGGACTTGAGAAATGGAGAGAGCTGAATCTGACATGGCATTTTGGTATACTCTTTTTTTTCCCCCCATTTTTTTTTATATCACAGTTCACTCAGAAATCCAAGTACTTATAATAAAAAATTCAGAATTACATGGTACTTTCTCCCTTTGTTCCTGCTACTTTCAGTTTCTAAACTAAGTCTTCAATTTTTGGTTAGCATCAAGTCAAAAATAGTTTTTCTGTGCCTTCCTCCTCCCTCTATAAAAAGAGAGTTGTCTTGTAAAACAGCCAGGAATTTTCTGGAAAGATTATGTTTGGCTACATAACAATTATCAAGTAATTTCTTGACATCAGATGTCATCTTCTACTTCATGTCTTTTATACCTGCAGTTTAATTTTGCTGCAGAAGTTAAGTTTAACTGCAGAATACCTGCAGTTTAATTTTGCAAGTCATTATCCACATCTCCCCTTAGATTGGATGAACAGTAATATACCAAAAGCACTATTACTTTGTTGGTTCCTTTACTTAATTTATCCCTAGAACTTGCTACAACGTTGCTTAATTCATTCATTTAGATTTTTGAGCAAGAGTGGATATTTTTAAAATACAATGCAACTTCTCCCTTTCTACTACTTTTTTTTCTTGTTGGAATTGCATTCAACTCTTGCATTTTGGTCATGGGATTCATTTCATCAGCTTGTTGTATCAAATACACCATATTTTCCTGTATGTGTAAAAGATCAAAAGATAAAGATATACATACATACATACATACATACATACATACATACATACATACATTGAACACCAAGCAGATTTTGCACAGTTTTAACATTAGGTTAAATAGATATTGTGTAGAAGTAGCCTGCCAAAACAATGTGTTTCTCTGTCTGTAAATTAATAAATATGTAAATAACTGAAACGTTGCTTGTTAGTGACACATAAGGCAAGTGTAAACCATATAGGATTATTACAGTCTAAATAATTTTGCTGATAACATTTATTAACAGGCATTTTAGGAATATAATAAATATTGCATTTATGCAGGATCATCATCTGGTACTAGTATAGTAGTACAGCTAGTGCTCAACTAACAACCACAATTGAGTCCAAAATTTCTGTTGCTAAGTGAAACATTTGTTAAATGAGTTTTATTCCATTTTATGATCTTTCTTGCCACAATTGTTAAGAGAGAGAGAGAGTTATAATTACTTATTTTTAAAATTGTAAGATTTCTGATATGAATATATCAGAATAGGAATATAAGAATAGGAAGAATGAAGATGTTACCCTTGTTAATTCTTCTTGACTCATCCATTTGAGTGTATCTAATTAGAGAGCTTTAGCGCTTAGTCCCCTAGCCCTGACAAAAAAGTACCATCCTTTGAATTATTTATAACTGTTACTAATTACTTTTATTTTCTCAGTTTTTTTCTCTAACTTTTTTTTTACATAGTGACATTCTACAGACAGGTTGTCAACAAATGCCAGTCTTTCAATCAAATAGTATACTATCAGAATACAATTGTAAAAAGCTTGAAAAACCACCTGCAAGTGAAAAACAGTCTTGCATTTCAACCCCTTTTGGAGTAAGTATATGTAGTCATTGGACATACGTTTTCTTCGCAGACCCAAGACAAGAATGCAGATATTTTTAATCTGTAAATAAAAAGACAGGATGATTCTGTGGTACTAAGTGCCTTTAATTTTTTTAAATCCTAATGATTGTTTCTGTTGCTTTATTTACAACACTTTGATTAGGTTCACACAATGCATTAACCTATAATGTGACATCTTTACTTTTTGGTTTAGAGTATGTGGTAAAATCAATTACAGTGCAATGTGTGAAACCAGGCACTACATTACATTTTAATGTAGAATAGTCCTCTCCAGTTTGATCTTTTCCAGCTGTATTGGACATCAACAAATATATTCTCTATAGATGTTTATGATCAAATGATGATAGAAATTGGTCCAATGGATCAAGAGGGCAACAGATTCGAAAAAGTACTATACTGCAGATTAAATACTTCATACATATGGATAATATAATAAACTGACTGTTTAATAGTGGAGCAATAATACAAATTATATCTGCTTCTCGAAACTTGTAGTTGATATTACCTGTAGCTGAGGAATGTTTCAGCTATAAGAATACATCGCAGAAATACATTGCATTATAGGGCATCAACATTTTTCAGAGCTATTTATAATTACTATTGAATGCGTATGTTTGTTACAGGTTGTGTTCACACATTGAGGTATGCCAGAAAGTTATTTGTTTCATTCTGATTCAGTGCCTCATGCAACTTACTATAATTGAAAACCATAGTTTTTAGTTGATCATATTGTGTCAGCCTATTCAATTAAGAGGTACTCAGTTAAACAAACTATAGCTTAATACAATGTGCAAATCAAGTCGTAATTCTGCTTTGTGTTTTTCAATCTAGTTTGGTGGTACAGCTGGCCCGTGATCTTCAGACAGATTTTTATCCACATTTTCAAGATTTTTTTCTCTGCATTACAAGTCTGTTAGAAACTCAGGACACAGAGTTGCTAGAATGGGCCTTTTCATCACTTTCCTATCTTTACAAATATTTATGGAGGCTGATGGTGAAGGACATGAACAACATTTATGGGTAAGCATTTTGATCAAAAATACTGTAGAGGATTTTAGTATACAAGTTTTATTAACTCCCATCATTTGAGTGCTAATCCTTAATTCATTTTGCTGACCATGCAAAATATATTCTCTACACCAAACCCTAGAATTCCTAATAGTAATATATATGGTAGTTTACCCTAAGCTTAAGATGCACCCTAATAATTATTGTAACATTAATTTTATCCAAAGTCCTTAATGAACTAGAATCCTAACTCAATGTGAATCTAGTTCTAGCAGAAAATCTCAACCATAATGTATATCAGGGCCTATCACTAATCTTAAACATATATCCTAATTCTTATGACATTAATTTTAACCAAAGTCCTTAGTGTACTAGTAGCTTTCACCATATCTAAAAGCAAATACCTATCTCAAAAAATAACTCTGTAAAAATCTATGGAATAATATTGATTAATCACACATATTTCCTTCATTTTGTAGAACTCAAGATGCACTAATGCTTGAACCTCCTATTTTCCCCATAACAACAATCCTGGGAGATGCATTGTGTTGAGAAAGTGTCTGGCCCAAAGACATCCAGCCAGCTCTTCTGCCTAAGGGAGAATTAGAATTACATAGTCTCTGTTTTCCAGTCCAGTCTCCTAACTGCTATACCAAACTACCTTTCCATAAATCTAAATTAACATAAATCAGTGATTGGTGCAAGCCATAAAAATGCTCCTAATACTTACTAATTTTAAACAGAATCCACAATGGACCAAAACCCTATCCCATGAGGAAAATTTTGTCACATAAATCATAAAAATATCATGTAAGCTACTTGGGAAACTGTTCTGAATGAAAAACTTTAATATCTAATTTAGAAATATTCACATGTTCAGAATTATGATTTCAGACAAGCACAGAATGTGGTTCTGGTAAGGAATTTGGTGTCCATCAAAGGTAATGGAAATATGTCTGCAGTCTTGATACAATTATGTGCTGATAGCAAAACTTAACTATTCCTGACAGAAAACCCAATACTTTGGTGTGGGTATTTCAACCATTTTAGACCTAGAGAGCCTTTAGACATTTATATAGTGATCAATTGCTCCATTTGCCTTTCATATCTGCATTAGTTTAATACCTTGTGTGTGTATGATAATAGGCTGTAAAAATGTCCAGTATAATGAATAAATAACTAATTCCTGTTACATTCTGGTGTGTGTGTGAGAGAGAGAGAGGGTGTGTGTGTGTGTGGGGAGAAGGAATTGATGGGAATATATTAACAGGAATGTATTTTTCTTTAATCTTCTGACCACCACATCCCTGTGCTTTCATGAAACTACTTAGAAACAATACTTGCTGTTTGTGTCACCAGTTTCTTCCCTACCCAAGTGAAATTTGGCCATTTTTCCCCATTCTTACAAGCTATCTTACTTTGGTGTATGTATTCTATTTATACATAGAACAAAATATGTTCTGTCCTAAGTTAGATGGGTGAGTCTGCAAAATGTTGTTGGAAGAATCAGTTGACCTGGCTAGCTTCCTTCCTTCCTTTCTTTTTGATACATTGTATTTACAGATTGTACAGTACCCTTCTGGCTCATCGCAAACAACACATCAGAAACTTTGCAGCAGAAAGCTTCACCTTCCTGATGAGGAAGGTAGGTGTGATGGACAGGAGGAGCAGTACTGGGAAGAATGAATGGGAAAGGTTGGCCATGGTATTTAAATCAATGGAAACAGTTGCCAGGGATTTCTTTGGCACTGACATATATGTATATTAGGAGAGAAGAGCTACTCTTAATACTGTGACTTCCATGTTACCTTGAGAACTGATATTACTGCATAGTTAACTAATTAACCCTTGGATTATACACAGGATTATAGCTTCTAACTTGTATTATTAAAAAGTATTATTAAAAAGAAAGAGATTATCATTCATGGTAGAGCATGTTTCATGTTTCTCTGACCTTGATAGCAAGAATCAGTAGGTATGATTGTTATTATTATAATGATTGCAAATATTGTGATCTTAAGGCACTGAACGACTAATATACATCAACAGAAATGGGTGGGGAAGAGGACAGGAAGGAAAACAACATTTTTCATAGTGTTGAATGTTTTTCCTGAAGAACACACGGTGGAAATTTGGAAAATCTCATGATCATATAATCACCATGCAAGTTTTTCTATGATTTTTCTTTTCTTATCTATAATATAAATAGCACACGTAATTCTTGCCAGGATACTATTAAGCCTAAGAATATTTTCAGCTGGTGACATTCATAAGGACCTTCTCATTTTCTACATTATTACTGAATAAACCAACTCACTAAAAATAAAGAAATATAACAGAAGGCTGTAACTTTTACTGGGCAATCATGCAACAACAACAACAACTTATACATAGTATAATAAAAAAGATCACATTTGTCATGATAGGATTGTCACGATTAAAAAAGAAACTTGTGATATGTTTTTATGGCTGTAAAGCTTAGGAAGCTTAAGTAGCATATAGCTTATGCTAGCGTTCAAATTTCTATGCCTCCTTTTTTTCTGACCACAATATGTAAAGAGCCAGAAGTAATTATTTAGTGTGTAGGATATAAGTTTTATTTGTTCTTGTTCTAGTAACGGCCTATACTAGAACTGTTCATATTTTGTTCCTGTAAGCGATCGTGGATTCTTTTTCTACTTTTCTACCAAGTAATTAAACATTATTTGGTAAAATGCTGCTAATGTGATTTGAGTTGACACACCAGATGAACAAACTTTTCCACTTGCACATTTCTGCAGCATGATTATCAAGAGTGCTTAGAACAAGGGTAGCTTTATTTAAAATCTTGTTGAACAGGCGGCCACTTACCTTTTTTCCTCTTCCTGTTAGGGATTACATTGCAAGGAAAACATGTGAATAGTTGCTCTGTTTGATCTACTTGATAGGCTGTTGAAATCCCAAATTGATATGAATTACTGAGAAAAAGAATGAGATACCTAATAAAACAACTAATGAAATATTTTTCATTATGAGATGAAAGAATTTTATTGACAATAAAATATTTATATTAATATGTTGATGACATAAACCAACTCATGGTAGTTTAAAGTGTAAATAAAACCAAATAACAATAAAATTCAATTAAAATATAAAATCAATAAAATAGCAAGCAGTAATAGGACAGTAAAATGTTTGTAATAATAAACATATTGTAAGGCAGACAGTTATAATTTGAGGTCTTTCCATAATAATAATACTAATAGGCCATGTCAGGCATGTCAAACTTGCGGCTCGTGGGACAGATACATCACACGTTGGCCATGCCCACTCCCAGTTTAGCGAAGGAGAAAAAGTTGTGATATGTCATGTAATGACAACATTGTCAGGGCTCCGGTAGCAACTCTGTTAGCAACTCTAAAAGACCAGAGAAATATTTTATGATTAACAAACGTGTTGTCGCGAGTTTGACACCCCTGGGCTATGCTTTTCGCCCATCTACTTTTTCCAATTATGTTTAAGTAAAATGGAACAGTACTACAGTATGGAGAGTTTCAGGCGGAGAAGTCAGAGTATCACTGGGAATTAACTGAATTTGAGTGTAAAGTGGAACACTACATTTTCATTCTTCAATTTTGTCTCACAGGTTTCTGACAAAAATGCCCTTTTAAACCTTATGTTCCTTGATCTGGGAGAGCATCCAGAGAAAGTGGAAGGTGTGGGACAATTAATTTTTGAGATGTGCAAAGGGGTTAGAAACATGTTCCACTCCTGTGCAGAAAAGGTAAACAATTATTGGTGCATGAAACAAATATAACCTAGTTTATAGACGATCTATAATCATGATTACATCATGTGGCTGTAAACTGAGAGCATATACTGGTCCAGTACCTGATTTTTTAAAATATAAATAATGCTGTGCTTCAATGGTTAGATGGCCTAGACATTGGTATTTGAACATAGATCATTTCAACATTTATATTTTATTGTGTTGCACTAATCGAGGTGAAATGTTAATATATAATGCTACTCCATGTATGATATACCATACACTAAATAATAAATAGAGATTCTGATTTGCTATATTTAAGTTAGCTTATATTTGGATCCTTTATTTTATAACCACTATTAACCACTATTGAAGAATGTTTTGCTTACTACTTGGTCAATGGGTAGACTGAAAGTAAGTGCCAATGGCGGAATTCAATTTTGAAAGGGCTTAAAAATATATATTTTAGTAAAACATGTATCCATCAGAAGTTAACATATCTTTTATTATTTTTAAAAGGACAAAATCATATTACCATAAGGGGTCCTTGATGCTCTCTGAGCTTAATTACAGGTAAACCTTGACTTATGACCACAATGGAGCCAAACATTTCTGTTATTAAGTGAGACATTTGTTAAGTGAGGTGTGCCCTATTTTATGAGTTTTGTTGTCACGGTTGTTAAGTGAATGCAGTAGTTGATAAGTTAGTAATCTGGTTAAGTGAATCTGGCACCCCCGTTGACTTTGCTTCTCAGAAAGTCTCAAAAAGTGATCACATGACCTTGGAACACTGCAACCCTATATATGAACCAGTTGTCAAGCACCTGAATTTCAGTCACATAATCATGGGGATGTTGCTAAGGTTGTAAATATGAAAAACAGTCATAAGTCACATTTTTCAGTGCCGTTGTAACATTGAATGGTCGCTAAATGAACTGTTGTAAGTCAAGGACTACCTGTATTAGTGCACTAATGATGTTACCAAGTTTGAGTAATGAAACATCTGCAAGAATACAACTAAGCTCAGAGGGCACCAAGGATCCCTTATTTCAACTCTGAGCTATAAATATTCTCTTATATTGGTAGCACATTATCATAATCTGGTCATATGATAACATTTTCCAGCAATATTATTGAGTATAGTAGATTGCTTGTTTCTCTCCTAGACTAAAAGGAAACTTTTTAGACATTTGATCCAATGTTTAACTATTATCTTTTGATTAGTTGAAGTACTGAATTGGACACAATTAAAAATCATGGCTGTGGAAGGAAGAATTATCTCTCTAACTTTTTTATTTCTGATTGCTGAATTCTGTAATGATCAATTCACATAGAATAACAAATTATTGTAAAGGTTATTGACAATAACTTTAAAATTTTTATTTAGAAAATAGCCCTCATATATCTGACTTTTTTTATTGCAGGCTATACCATTAATTTTGAAGAAGATGGGACCAGTTACAGAAACAGAGGTTATACTCCCCTGGGTTTCCATTGGAGAAGTTTGCAAACATATGGCACAATCAGCTGCTAGATTCATCTATAGGGAACATTTTGATATATTTTTCAAATGTTTGCAGGTACGTTGAAGATGATTGAAATACAAAGAGAAGTCCCAACTCTCCGCCTAATATTAGCGATAAGGTTACATAATGAAAAAATCAGGGAAAGTATTTTATGTTGAACTAGCAAGGATCTATTATTATTTTGTATTCCAGCAAACTGGAGTACTCTATATAAGCCATCCCAAAATGGTTGTGCTGCCTGTGGCATATGAGAGTAGTTGTTCCAATTGCTGTAGACTTATGCTTGGGGAAAACTGTTTTGAAAGCTTAACTGATGAAAAAATGCAGCAGACTTAAAACAGTTCATTTAGCGACCGTTCAAAGTTACAGCGGCCCTGAAAAAAGTGAAAAGACCATTTTTCACACAAGACCATTGCAGCATCCCCATGGTCATGTGATCCAAATATGGATGCTTGGTAACTGGTTCATATTTATGAAGGCTGCAGTGTCCCAGGTCATATGATCATCTTTTGAGACCTTATGACAAAGTGGGAAAGCCAGATTCAACCATGTTGCTAACTTGACAACTAACTTGACAACTGCAGTGATTCATTTAACAATGGTGGCAAGAAAGGTCGTAAAATGGAACAAAACTCACTTAACAAGTGTTTCACATAAATTTTGGGCTATTTGTGGTCGTAAATTAAGGACTACCTGTAGTCACAAACAACCATGTCGATATATACTGTTTACAGACTCATCCAAAAGTTGCGTGAAAATAATATTTTGTCCAAGATTGCTTTCACATCAGCCTCATTTAGGTGTTATAAAGCATTGCGGTGTGAGTAGCAGGGCAGAATCCATCCCATCTATAATGTTGCTTTGATGACACCAGTGATGAACCAGGCTCCATAAGTATATTGTCATTAACCTTTTTGAGTGGCACATATTACAGCTTCTGTATGAGTTGAAATCTTTATAGTTCAACTTTGGGGTCATGTGGAAGAGCCCCAGAGATAAATAAAATTATTGTACTCCCTGAGACTGGTTCGTTATTTGGTATCATATGCCCGTGTGGAAATGTTATCAATAGTTCAGTAGTTAATTCTGAAATAAGGAAGAAGACAAAACAGAAGTTATAAACGCTGAATCTCATTAATCTTAATGAATCTTCTATCTTATTTTTATTAATCTAAACTTTGAATACATTTTTGTTAAAAAAAAATCAGGAATCAGTGTTTACGTTGCAAGAAAAGGTAACCAAGGAGAACTGTTGTGAAGCTTCTGAACAAATGGAAAGATTATTGCAGGTCTACTTAATCATAGGAGAGTATGCACATGGCTCAAAAATTTCACAACCTGAAGAAGTTTGTAAGGTAATGTCAACCTATTTTTTTTAAATTGGGGCAGGTCATGTGGGTTTGCTATCAAGAACACTTTTTTAATCTGATGCTCTTGGGGGATATTTCTAAAGTGAAATGACAATTCTGGGAATATTAATTATTGTAGTCTGAATATATTTGACCAGCACCAGGTTGGGAAAGGCAGGCAAGCAGCATGACTTAACTGTTGTATAGGTTGTGTTGTGTTGTTGTATAGGTTGTGTTATATCCAATGATACTTGACATTATCCTGGAGAATTTTCAAAAGAATAAATCTTACTAATTATTTTATACAATCTGAAAAAAAACTCTGTAGCCCTAGCTAGATTCTCTTTTATGAATGAAAGCAAATATATGTAATGTTGCAGGATCCAGTCTGGTTCGACTACCAGGTTTAGAGGTTTAGTCATCTGAGCTATCAGACTCGTGCTGGGGCCCATCCTCAGGGAACTTCTCTCTGCCAGAATGTGTGATCCTCTTTTCTTACACCTCACTGACTCTCTTATTATATTGTTGTGAAATATTGGCAGTATTGCTCCAGAAGGAAGAAGCAGCTGAGAGGAACATGACAATTGAAAGATTGAGAGATAGCCACAGCTCACAGTGTGATAGAATAGAACACTGAATAAGGTTGTCAGATAAGACAACATTTTCAGGTGAACAAATAACAAAAAGGTTTTAGACTTCATGGCTTTGGAAAGAAATGTTAAAAGACCCACATTTTGGAAAGAAAGCAAAGAAACATTTTAATTGTCACTAAAATTAGTCACATATAATGCTAGAATTGCCATTAGAACAAAAGGTTTCATTGAAAGAAATGTAGGCAAACTTGCATAATGTGTTTCTAAGTCCTAATGCAATTGGATTATCTTTTTAAATTTGTCATTCTTTTTTAGTCTCCATTTTCAGCCAATCTGCTGTAAATTTTCTGAGAAAAAGTGTTTTCATATAAAGGAATATTACAGTATTTTTTAAAATTTTCACATTGTGAGATTCTTTCTCTGTACTGTTATATATATGAAATAATGAGGGAAACAACACTATTGAAGCATATTTTTATATATTTTTATTTTGCCTGAATGTCTTAGAATTTTGAAAATCATTATTTGTTCTTCTATTCCAGACATTAACAAAAATAATAGATACATCTGAACTCACAGTGCCTTGTTGTGATTCCCTGCTTAAAGTTATTTCTGTTTTGCTTCTTCATGAGAATGTCTTATTGTCTGATTCTTTGGTGAAAGAAACTGTTGAAAAGGTAATAAGGTACCAAGTTAAATTAATATGTAAACTTTGGTAAAAGATCTAATGAACGTATGCCTGTTGTACTGTAATGTTTGTTTTGTATTTTTCTGGAATAGTTCTAAATATTTCTGATAATAAATGCAAGTAGATGGGCATAAGTGACAACTCTCATTTATCCTCAGTAATGGAAATGAACTATATGTGTATTGACTGAGAGAAAATGCATGATATGTGCTATTTAAGGAATTTGAGTTTTATGGCACCTTAAGGATTAAGACATTTATTATAATTGTTCATGGATCATGGTCTACTTTATCAAACGTAAAGTGCATCATCCAGAAAAGGAATGTTTCTGTATATACCAACCATTTGTTAACTTACCAACTTACTTTCACTGAAAAAACTGCCTAAATATATATGGAAAAGAATAAATGGGTACAAAACTGAAATGTCAACGATAAAAAAAATTCATTGGAAAATGGAACAAGGGGACATTAACCATGCTACTTTTTGGGCCACAATTTTTTCCTGCAAAACATTTTTTGTAGTTCTGCATATTTGTGGGAGGTTGCATTTTAAATAAAAGACCACAGTCAATATAGCAGAAATGAAATGCATAAAAGCATTTCAACAGCAGCAAAAGATTGTGTCATTTCAAGGTACAGTGAAATATCAGGATAAATAAAATATTAGGTTTTAAAGCAATAGGAAGATTTTTGCTCATATTTGTCTGGCCGAATATTAAATCTGCAGTTCATGGCTTATGAGAATTATTCCTCTAAATGTTTTTATTTTTTAATTTTAATTTTTAATTTTTAATGTTTTAAATTTACTTAGCTAAATGTTTTAGTTTTCTCCCTTGAGTTGGGGTTCTCGATCAACAGTGCCTGAATATGTAAAGAGCTGAAGACATAGTTTTGCATATTGACATGTCAGATTTTTTTCAGCCATTTCTTAGTGTGATCTGCAATGATGCTTTTGTATATGAATGCAGTTAATTCTGGAAAGATGCCCCTCATAAATCAGTGTTAACTTCAGTGATTACCTTTGGCCAAACTGTGCAGAATCAGTTTGAGAGTTCTTTGGAAAAATCATATTGAATCTGGACCGGTCCTTTGTTTTCCTTTTTAATAGGTCTTCAGAAGTGGATTTGAATGGTATTCTGTTTTGAATTTTTCTAAAGCGATGTTTCTGATGAAACAATTTGAAAAGGTAGGCAACTGTTTCAGCGTATTTTCACCTGTGAGGAAACAATACAAGCATCTCAGTATATTGTTGAGTTTCAGTCCAAGCAGCCCTCTCCAACAATGTCAAATGCAGAGAGTTCTAATTCAGCCACAGGTTGCCCACCCATGTTTTAATTAACGTGAGGATTATGTGGAAGGAAGCTCAAGAAATGCCTATAGTCTGCAAAATCCAACAGCCATTGGTTAAGGGGATCCAGTGCCTAAGGCTGCATTTATTTGTTCTGAGATAGCTTTGTATTTATTCTATTCTTCATGTTTCAGTTAATAATAAAAATAAAATGATTTATGCCAGATCCAAAATCTCAAAAGAATATCCTGGATATGAAATTTGCACAGCTCACAACTATCAAATTAATAGCTGCTAGATTCTTGAAAATCTTGTTTAGAGATAATGCATGAATTTACTTAACATTAGCAACGTTTTGTTTTATGCAGCGTATGTAAACATTCACAGAAGTGAGTAGTAAGAGCACTTCAGGTTTATGCACTTCATTATCCCAGTAAGCCCTGGGCTATTTCATAAAGAATGCCACTATTATTTCACAGTGCAGGAAGGGCTGAGGCTGGGGAACGCAAGTAGTTCTTGTCTTACAACCACAGTAGAGCCAAAAATTTCAATTGCTAAGCAAGACAGTTAAAGGAGTGGTGCCCCATTTTACAATCTCTTTTTCCTAGTTGAATCCTTGCAGATGTTAAGTGAATCATGAGATTGTTAAGTGAAACTGACTTCCTCCATTGCCTTTACTTATTGGAAGCCAGCTGGGTAAATTACAAATGGTAATCACATAAATACATGCCAGTTGGCAAGTGCCCAAATTTTAATCAGGTGGCCCTGGGGATGCTGCGACGGTTGTAAGTGTGAAAACTGGTTGTAAGTTGCTTTTATCAATGCTGTCGTAACTTCAAACAGTCACTGAGCAAATGGCTGTAAGTCGAGGACTACCTGTAGTGCTTACCATGACAGCTTGTGGAGCATGTAGCTTAGTGGGAGATGAATTGCAGAATTCCCTTGCCCAGTTTATATATTCAGCTGCTTTTAGAGTGAACCAAAATTTTTAAACATTCAATAGCCTGAATAATAAGGGCCCTGCCCTGTACATCTTAGGAAGTTTAGTAAATTTTCTCAGGTCTACAATTTAAGCCTTGCCTCTGTCTCATTAGGGGAGAGAACATCATTTCATGGGGTAGAAGAGTTTAGATGAACATTTATCATGAAGCAGTACAACACAGAAACAGCAGTATAAAGTATTATGAAGGGGGAGAGTGGGAGGAATATGAAATATGCAACCCGTGGAGATTTGCAGTTAGGTTAAGAATGTTAGAGGCTGACACAGAAATTCTAAATGTATCCCTTAGAGCAGGGATCCCCAACCTTTTCGACGCCGCGGCCCGGTTCCGACATCAGCTGGGCGCCGCGGCCCGGTACCGGCGTCAACTGGGCGCCGCCATCTTTTTATGACGAAAAGGCGCTTCCGGTGAGCTTTCTACCCGGAAAAGCTCACCAGAAGCGCTTTTTTACCAAAAAAAAGATGGCGGCGCCCAGCAACCAGCGGCCCGGTAAGGCTTGTTCCGCGGCCCGGTACCGGTCCGCGGACCGGCGGTTGGGGACCCCTGCCTTAGAGAGTAACTATTTAATTTTGTTTTTACATTGAAATGTAGAGGTTGCTTTTAATAGATAAGGTAGTTTATGTAACTATTTTTAATCAAATAGTTTCCTCTGAGTCATGTTTGATTCCTGGAAACTTTGCTGATATGTTTCTTTCTTTTTTAAAAAAAAATTTATTCAGTTTTTCACATTAAAAACAAAAATCTCTTTTTAGTGGACAACATATTTCTGGGTCATCACCTTTACATACAAATATGACAGCAATTATACATTCATATATACATACTTAATTCTATTATTACCTTTTCCATTCCAAATTTTCAGTAAGGAGAGAAACAAACACATTAATTCTAGCCTCTTTCATTAATCTCAATTGAAACATCTTTTTGTTTCATTTCAATTATTTCAAATATAATCCTTTAATATTTATTTTAAAAATAAAGATAAACAATATGTGTTTGCCTAATAATAATAATAATAATAATAATAATAAAGGTTACCAATGTCTCTCCTTGCTTTTAATAGTCTATATTAACTTATTAATTTAGTTGGTTCTTTAGTCTGTCATATTCCCTTTCTATTACCCATTCTTTTTATAAATTCTAGATTAATACAAATTTTAATACTAAAGAAAAAAAAACTAGTATAGGTTTTCCCCCTTTTACTACTTTGAGTGTGACACCTCAATGAAAACCATTTTTAAGAAGTTATAATAATAATCATTACATCTTTTCATTTGGATTCCGCAGCATATTTCCCCCCCATAATTTTTAATAAGAGTTATCAGTATCTATATTACCCTATTTTCTAAATATTTTTAATTGCAGAAATATTCTTATTACCCCTTGTCACCCTGCAGAATCCCCTTTTTAATTCATCAACCATTATCTCTAAAAAAACAATTTCTTTTCCACATTTTACTATTTCCGTATTTCTTTATTTCATGCACCTGTTTCTTACTGCTTCTCCTCCCCCTCTTTTCCCCATATCTTTTCTCATTCCAGTTTATATCCCTCTCTTTCTTAATATCTTCCTTTCCCCTTTTCTGCTGGATCTATCTGCCTTTCCCAACTTCACAGGTATTCCCCCTTTTGATTGCCTTCTTAAATCTCAACTTTTTAACCTTCTTTCTTTCCCCACTTCTTTGTAGTGTTCTTTGTGTTAATTGTCTATTTAAAATGTCTTCTCCTTGAGGCGACTCCTCCTCCTCTGAAGCTCTTTCTTCTTGTTCTTCAATCGCCATTTCCATTTTTTCTAACACAGAGCAAAGTTGATTCGCCTCTTTCCTGTAGTAATTCTCTCATACTTTTAAGTTCCATTTTTAATTCCCGAAGAGATATCATCATTACACACTCTTGTATTTTATGATCGTTAAAGTCCACAAAAATAAAACACTTTTACTTTTCTTCTTTCTTCTTTCAATTTTCTAAAGTTCTCAATTATTCCAGCCCAGGGTCTATACCAAAAACATCAATCAATCAATCCCACAGTCAGTTTTTCCTTGCTTTTTTCTTTATTCTGGTTCTGCTTTCACTTTCTAAGATTCTTACTTTGTTTCAATATTTCTTTAATGTTATAGCCACACAAGTTCATTCAGAAACAGGATGCTTTCCCTTTTGTTTGAGCTCAAGTTTTTGTCAAAAGGTGGCACTCTCCATTATACAAAGTCTTCATCTTTTTCCCCTATTTTTTTGTTTAGGGTTTTTCGAACCTCAATATTCCAGCACAGTCCAGTCTCCAGTTTGTAAACTTTATTATTATTATTATTTGACAATCTTAAGTCCAGCTTTATTTTATGCCTGTTTATTGCCAAAATATTTTAATCCAATTTAGTTAAATCTTTAGTTCCGGCTTCTTCCTTTCCCGGTTCGAAGCCCCGCTTAGCTGTCAAAAATATTTTCTTATTTTTTTTCCTGTCCCTTTGTAATTTCGCCTCTCACTTTTCTTTTCTTAAAAATTCCAGGTTACCTTAATCCCAGGGTACTTTTGTTTAGTTGTATTGCCCAGTTGTCCTGGTTCAGATGTTATCCACCTCTTTCTTCTCTCCTGCACAAATCTTAATCCAGCTGAATCCTCCTCTTCGGGGTGGCCATTTTAAACCACCGCTGCAGTCGTCTTCGGGGGAAAAAGACGAAGCCCAGGAGGGGAGATGCGGCTTCCCTCAACCTGGCTTGCGGCTTCCCCTTTCTCCACCGCCCCTCCAAGGCAGCTTCAGCCCCTTATCGTGATGATCGGGGCTCTCCAACGAAAGAGCACGGACCATAGCCGCAGAGAGTCACAATCTACGGTCCGTCAGCGAGGAGGCTCCGCCTTCTTCCCCGCTGATATGTTTCTTTATCATCAGAGCTTTCCTGGTTTTTTATTTAAATTGTTCAGTCTATTCTATAGCCCTTGAATTTCTTATTAGCTTCTCTCTACATTTTCATTTAGAAACCAGTAGGGTGTGGCTAAGTAATTGCACTTCCCCGAAGTTGCTTTTAGACCTTGAAAGATTTGACTAAAGAAGATGAGCAGTGTAGCTGCCTGATTAGAATTGCTAAGAATTAAGCAGTGTAAACTTTTGATGTATATAAATAAATGATATAAAATAGGAAGGAAAGCACACATTAATGCCCACGTATTAAATCCTTCACCTAAGGCATAATGGACAACGTGTAGCCTTCCAGCTATGTTTTTGCCACTCCCAAGTTCCCTCTAAAATGCATCTCTAATATAGCAGCACAACAGTCATTTATTATTGTGATTTCCCCCCCCCCCCCCCCTTTGCTCTCTGACAGCCAAAATGGTGAAAAAAAATCATTTTGAAGCCTTTGGAACATATAGCATATCTGTTTTCTATACATCTCCCCAAATCCACCCCTAAGGATTCTTGAAGATTAAAAATAATGGCACACATACATAGGCATTTCCATAGATATTGTGAGCCCCAGATTTAAAAAAAATGCTGCACCTGGTTTGGAAGATTATAGAATACTCTTGGTAAGCTGATAGAATTAAATAAGACTAACTTCTATGTTTATGTGGAAAACTGGCTTCCTGATTCTGATGTATTTATGTCCTAGCTTGAAAAGTCTTGTATAGGAAGTCCTTGGCTTGACTTTGGACTATAGTTGAGCTCAAAATTTATGTTGCTAAGCGAGACATTGTTAAGTGACTTTTGCCCCATTTTATGGCATTTCTTGGCACAGTTGTTAAGCAAATCACTGCAATTGTTAACTTAGTAACACAGTTATTAAAAGAATCTGGCTTCCCCATTGACTCTGCTCCTCTGAAGGTCGCAAAAGGTGATTACATGACCCCGGGACATTGCAACTATCATAAATATGAGTCAGTTGCCAAGTGCCTGAATTTTTATGATATGACAATAGGGATGCTGCAGTGGTCATAAATCACTTTTTTTCGTGTCGTTGCAACTTCGAACAGTCATTAAATGAACTGTTGTAAGTCACGGACTACCTGTACTGTCTTGTTCTTTTTAGCAATTCCTTCCCAGCCTCCTTGAATATATTGAGCACTGTATCTATAGCGATGATGCTATGAAGCAGCAAGTGGCCTTAGCAGTTCTCTCTAGACTTATCCTAAAGAAAGCAGAACCTCCCTCTGTTGGATCAATGGCATATGAGAAGTATCCTCTTGTTTTTGCAGAATCAGCTAAAGGGTATGTATGTCTTAACCTTATCTGGAATTACACAAATGATGTTCCTCAGAACTTGTTAACTAAGGTTAGCTAGTCCAGCAAATGATTTGTTTTAACACCTGATAAAGATTCTTTAACTCCCATTTTGGTTTAGTTGTTTTGCAATTGCTACATTAAAACAGGAGTGACATTAATTGGATCATCATCTTGCTGCAGTTCTATCAGTACTAAAAATCATGCATTTCTATTAACCCAATTTGAAGTGGAAGATACCTGTTGACAAGGCTGTTCTAAGCCAGTGATAAGCCAGTGATAATCTGGCCCTTAGCACTATTGATTGTGTTGATGCATTAATCTTCAGTGTTGGGTCAATGTCATAATTTCATATTTTAAAATGCCTTATTTCGCAACCACATTTGCAGTGGGCACCAATTGGGATCAATTGTTAAGTAAAGTGATTGCAAGACAATAAGTCTTACTTCAGCTTTCCTTTGCTTTACAGATTTGCAAAGGTTGTAAATGCAAGGAGTAGTCATAAAGTTGCTTTTTAAAATCACTATTGTAACTGAATGGTTGTTAAACAAAGCAGTTGTTATCTAGGATGAACTGTATGGGTAATTAATTCATTTTGAATATTTCTCAGGTTGTGTTGCTACTTTCTAGTTCAAATATCACCCTTTATGAATCAGAATGCAAGTTCATGTATCATTCAACTCCATAATGAAAGGCAAACTATGCAAATTAGCTTTCTACTGAAACCCAAAGCAGTTGTTGGTTTTTAGATTTTTTTAAAATCCTGCCTTTATTATTTTGTACAAATAACTCAAGGCAGCAAACATATCTAATACTTCTTCCTCCTTCCATTTTTCCCACAACAAAAAATCTTGAGGTGAGGTGAGTTGAAACAGTGATTGACCCAAAGTCACCTAGCTAGCTTTCATCCCAGTTGCGAAACTAAAACTCTGTTTACTGGTTTCTAGCCTGCTGCTTTAACCACTAGACTAAACTGGTCTGTTCATACTTAATAAGCATATTGGCTTGGCTCATTTTTAACTATTAGCATGAGTTTGTATATCACACTAAATAAAAAAACAAACAGTGATCCATGAAGCAGATCAAAATTTTTATAATAAAGAAAACAAGAATTAAAGTTCCAAAAGTGTAGGTCCCTAATCTGTTCTTTTGTGCTAGATAATGTATGTATGTATGTATGTATTGGAGAGATCTTCGTTGGGCTCGTGGCTAGGTTGCAAATTATAGTGGAAAGCATAATCTCTAAAATCTGATAACTTTGAAATAACATAGTGCAAACAATTTCATGTAACTGTTATAGCATCCATTCAATTTTATTTTAGGATGAGTAGAAGATATTTGAGAAGTAAGAAGATGGGAGAAAAAGAAGAGAAGACTGTGCTTGATCATATTCTGTCTTGCATCAGATTCCCCACAAGTAGAAACACAGCTGATATTTCACAATCCTGGGCAGCCCTTGTAGTTCTTCCGCATATAAGGCAACTATAAATCACCTTGGCTTATTTTTGACTTCTTTCCACATACTGGAGTACATGTATTATAACTGATGTGTAGATCTTGGGACTTACTCTTCTGCTTTCTAGAACATCATCAACTAGAAACAGGAAGTTAGAAATAGTAAAATAACCCCAAATACTTTGCTGGCTAAACGACTATTTAGAAATCCAACAGTTGAAAGTCAAGATCATTTGCAGTATTGCTAATGATACTGTGCCTGAGCACATTTCCTGGATTTATTACTGATCCCTTGTTGCCTCTATTATTACTCAGAAGCTGTTTGCAGTCCTGCTCTTTCTTATTTTTCAAATAAGTTATTTTCAAAGACCCACTAATTTTGCAAAATAGACATCTTAATTTGGAGTTGCATGTAAAGAGAACTAGACACATCTGACAATGTTATCTTTAATCTGGTACTCTTAGTTTTCCATACAGCTTTGAATGGATAGCTAAACATAATGTTATAATTCTCAATCCAAATTGTCCAGGGCAAATTACAAATTTTCTCTCTTCTAATGCTCTCTAATTTTCTTTCTCCTTTATTAGAATTCACTACTTCTATTTCTTTTTTGATGATTTGGGGTACATTGGAGGGTAAAATAAAATCACAGTTCAAGGGTGAAATTCAGAAATGAATTCTTAGCCTTCAGTAAAATTATAACTTATGTTTGCATTTACATGTTTGACAGGCCACTTGTGAAAGAAAAAATCACACCAATGTTTACAAGGTTCTTTGAGAGTCTCTTTGCTGCCCTTGATAAAGGACAGTTCTGCAAAGGTTAGCTCTTTAGATTAACCTGTTCTTTCTTTGTGAGCGTCAAGTAAAATAAATGTGATCTGTATTCTTCCCTGATTCTTCCCCCTCCCCCACTTTGTAGAAATGTGGTTAATTTTGACTGCTGTTGGATTGATACTCCCTTATTTGTCCAGATTTTTAAAAAAACTTTGCCTTTCCAACGTGATCCCTGGAGGTAACTGCGGTTGCCAATATGTTTCTTGGCACCGTCCAGTTCCCTCCCTTTTTGAATTCAATTTTTCTGTTTTTTAATTTAAAAAAATTTATGGGTAGTCAGCTTGCTCCAGTAATCACTAATCTCAAGTGTAGCCTGCATTTCCAACTGTGCATTTTGGTCCTGCATGAATCCCAGAATCGTTCTTAGAAAAACATTTGGGGGTTGCAGCCCAATGCTTTATTTGCCTTCTAATAGAAACATAATTTGCAATCAGCCTCACTATAATGACAGTCATTTCTGAAGTACTCATAAAATGCTCTCAAAATTCCAAATGTGCCTGTTGGCCATAAAAAGTTTTTATTTGTTTGATTGGCCAAATCTGCTTTGGTTTGCTTTTAATACAGTATTAATTAGTTGAGATAAATAAATAACAGTACTGGACAAGTTTATATGGGAAAAGCTTTGTTCTTACAGCTACTTATTTTTATTCTCTGTATAGGATTGGCTTCAGCTTTTCTTACTCAAATCAATGTCCAGATCTTTGATAATCATACTTACTTGGTTCATGTCTAAGCAATATGTTAGACTTTTGCTGTGCATTTAATTTACCTTATGAAATTTTGTTAATATTTTTTCATATTTATATTTAGGTGGTGTGTTTTGTAAGAAATTGAAATATATTTTATTTTTATAACTTTTAAAGTATTTCTGAAATAGGCATATGGACTAAGACACAAATTTGTTTTTCATTTTCTCAGGAAACTTGTTTGTGGCTTGTCAAGCTGTGAGTACGCTTCTTAGTTTAGTGGAATCTTTGGAAATTTTAGAAATGTTACCAGTGGAACGCATAAAGACTTTATTGATGTATGTATAATAGGAAAATATTTCCCTGTGAAATAGCAACTCTAGCTGAAGTGAGCTTATTTTATTCTATATTGTTACCCAAAACTAGGTTGAAGTTTCTGTGACAGGAAAATATATATTGATTAGAAATGAAAGGTAATCCTTGGGATATGGCAACAGGTGGGCTGGGATTTTTGCTGTTATGTGATGAAGTCATAAAGCACTATGTCGTGTGGCTGCATCACTTTATGATCACAATCCTGGACAGTCCTAGTTGCTGTGAAAACCCCAAGATGTGTGAGTTGTTAAGTGGGAAGAGGTGGAATTCCAAGGTAGTGGGCACGGGAATGCTACATGAAGAGATCAGGGAAGAGCATGGGAGGGCCAGTGCAGACTGCTTGTGAGTCATAAGAAGCTGGGGGACTTGCATGAGCCAGGAGATGGTGCAACCAAGAAAAAAAAGCGGAAGGGAATTAGCAGAGTGACTCGTGGCCTTTCCTGCTGGTTTTCCTATTTCTTGTGGGAAATTGGGAAGGTCACAAATAGCAATCATGTGACCATGGCTCCCTGCAGCTGCCATTGCAATCATAATTGCAACTATGGTTACGGGGATGCTGCATTGGCCAGATTTTTTTTCCAGCACTCCTGTAATGGTTGCTGAAAAAATGGGCGTAAGTCAAGGACTACTTTTACTGTGTTTAATATTTACATGTTTATTGCTAGACCTAACATCTGTTGAAACTCCTTTTTTACATGGAACATGTAAAAGACACAATTGGTATTTATGTTATACAGCAGAGACGGGACTTTTTCTTTCCCAGAAGAAATGCATTCCCCAAGGTTAATAATCAGACTACTGAAAAAAAGAAAAGACTTTATGGTAGAAATTCCAACTATTGTAAAAAGTCCTTGGAAATCTAGCTGTGCTGGGAAAAGTAGAAAATTGCATCTCTGTATTTAAAGGGTTCAGTTCCCATAGGCTTGAAGTTTTAGGTAAAAATGATATGGAGCAAAATTCAAGAGGCTTATACTGAATCCTGTAATGGGGCATATCAACTTGCTGCTTCATGAGCTTTATTTTAATTTTGTCATCAATTGTGCTTAGGTTTGATTGTCATTGCCATCTTGCCTGTCACTGATGTGCATATTAGTGATATCAGCATCACTAGCAACAGATAAAACATTTGTTCTGTAAGATATGGGTTCTCTACAGGTTACTGATAACCTGAGAACCAGTGTGGTAAAATAATATAAGACTAAGATGCAAATAATAAAGTGCAGTTTTACCCTGGCATAAACTTAATAGATGGCATTAAAGCAAGCATGTTGTGCTGTCATTTAAATTTTCAATATGAGGGATAAAACATAATTGTATAGCGATATTGTAAGGATTAAGATTTAGTAATGCAGGATAAGATCTTAAATATTTGAAAGTAGACAGCAGAATTGCTGTATTTGCTTACTGCTACTATATTGAATTTATCCTCCATTTTCTTGGAGGCTATCATATAAGATTCCGTGCTTAGAGGATGCTAGAGCCAACTTGACATCTTGTTTGGTCCCTTCCATTAAAACTGGCCAGTTAATGTCCATGTACCTTTACTTATACTTGTTTTCCTTTTTCCTCCTATCCCCAACTTTGTTGTAGTTAGTTGCTAAGTCATGACCAATTCTTCACAGTCTCATGGACCATAACATGCCAGGCCACCCTGTCTTCCATTTTCTCCTAGAGTTTGCCTAAATTCATGTTCATTGCATGAATGCCACTGTCTAGCCATCCTTTTTTTGGTACCACATCACTAAGAATGTAAGATGATTTTTATAGAAAGCCTGGGGTTGAGTTAAGACAATAATAAAGTAAAATAATGTAAACTCATATTTTTGAAATATATCTTGATTACTGTTTTCTTTTTCCTTAGGACATTTCCTTCAGAACTGTCTGCCTTACTATTGGCTGATCTCTATTTTACAAGATTAGCATTGTGTGATTATCATGAACACTTATCTAAAGAGACTCTGATGGAATTATTTTCTAAATTGCAATTCAATATTTCTTCCAGTGTACCTAAAGTAAGCTGATCTCCAACTGATTTATTTTTTTTGCTTTTCCACTCTTCTTTCCTGCTTCACAAAGAGTCACTACTGCAGAATATGCAGTAAAACTGCAGCAATGCAACCAGCAGTCTGTGGTATCTAATGTGTTCTCACCCTCTTGTCAATTTAGTGTCGCACACATAATACTTGTTAAATGCCCTCTGGCACTACTCAGATGAACAAGAATGGTCTTTGGCAAAGACTCAAAAAATCAGGACACAGAACAAATATTGGAGGATATTTAAATCTCTCTGATCCATTCACGGATTTTAAGGATAGCTATTTGCAAGAAAATCAGTTTGAGGGGGTGAATAAAAGATGAAATTGTAAAACATGAATTCCTATTAAAATATGATTCCATCCGGAATTTGTAATTGTACTACTTTTTTCCCATGATACTAATATATTGCAATTTCTTTAAAATGTAGAAATGGATATTAATTTTTTTACTTCCTTATACTGACTTCTACTTTCTTTCCTTTTGTCTACATCTGATGTAACAGATTTTGATATAAATTAAATTATTAGTCTGAAAGATCTTGTTCATCACTTGTTCGCAAAAAAAACCACCCTATTTAAGTATGGAAGGTAACAAGAAAGAAATACATATGTTGTATTGGGAATATATTATTTCTATCCAAGTAATTTGAAGTTTTCATAATTCCTAACTTTAGGGATATTGCCTAAAGCTCATAGAAGATAAAGCCAAAATATTTGGAGACACAGGTTATCTATTGTTGACTTATATATTATTAAATGAATTAATGAAGTGTATCTTTGGAACAGGTGCGACTGCTAACCATAAGGATTTTAAGTCATTTTGATGACCTGCTTTCAACAGGAACTAAGGTAATGTTTCAAATTGTAATTTAGTGCAACAAATGGTACAGCATTCATGCAGAAAGAGGCTTCTCCAGTGTTCCCAAAACTGCTAAAATTTCAGTGATAGATAAAACATAGTAATAGGTCTAGTAGTGTTAACTTATATTTCTGAATGTTGGTATGCCATTATTTTTGGTGAATTTAGAGCTTGCACTTGGTGAAGGTTTGATTTCTGTAAATACTTTATACATTAGTAGATTTTCTTTTTTCAATAATGAATTGCTAGGAAGAGCTCTGATTTAAATTTAGGGTGGTGTATGTTTTTTTTTTCCTGGTTGAAAAAAGTATTTCATGTGATTCATATCCATGCATTGAGTTTCTTTTCACTGAATGTTTTTTAACATAGTGCAGGGATGTTAAACTCAGGGCCCTGGGACCAGATCTGGCCCACGGGATGCTTAGATCTGGCCCCTGGGACCACCCTGGAAACAGCAAAGGACCAGCCCGTGGTGCCTCTGCCACATACGACCCTCCCAAGCTCCATTTTCACTGGCAGAGGGCTGCAGGAAGCCGTGGTAGCCGAAAATGGAGCTTGGGAACCCATTTTCACTGGCAGAGCACTTGGGCCACCACAGGCACCACCAACACGAATGACATCAAGCTCACCCTGACCGCATCCCCTGCCCCCAAAGTCAAACACAACCCTGATATGGCCTTCAATGAAATTGAGTTTGATAAATGGCAGAAACTATGGGAAAGAAATTATAAATTAACAATATCGACAGCATATAAAGAAAATTTGGACAAGATGTTTTATAGTTGGCACTTTGCACCAGCAAAATTGGCAAAGATGTTTCTCATGCATTTTTCCCCTTATTTGCTTAGGATGTGGGGTCATTTGGTATGTTGCTTCAAGCTGAACTTGTGCCAGCAAATATCAATGATTATCGTGAGAAGCTGCTCTACCTGAGTAAGCTGAGACATGATTTGGTGTGCTCCAGGATCCCTGAGGGAGCTTTGCAGGAGGTAAAAATGTCCTTTGTGAAAAGTATTAGCATAATTGCATTTTCCTACTAGCAGATCATGCAGTTTTTGTATATTATCATAATGGCTTTAATAATATGATGAAGATCCAGGATTTCCATGGAATATAGAGATTATAGCCATCTCTATTTTTATTTTCTGATCAGATAAATTTGTGGGCATGTGGAGGTATCAGGTAATGATTAATTTATGTTAGCAATTAGGTTTCAAATCAAGGGCAATTATTCTGTTCTTTTTAAGGCAAATACATTTATCTTTATTTGATTACAGTAGCTTATCTCTGGTAAGTCTGAAATACTATTTTCATTTTCTTCACCAAATGTCTGTCAAATTGGTCAGATGTTTGCAGGAGGGCACTCAGTATTGCATAGACTACTAGGCTGAAGTGGGATTCAGTGCATTTTCCCTTTATAACATAGATCACATTTACACGGAGCACCTGGTGGTATTGTGGCTTCATTTACTGTACTAGCTGGTTAAACATTGAAAAAAACATCCATTAATCATAGTCCATAACCACAGTATGTTACTGGTCAAATGGTTTAGTATAAGCTGGCATGTCATCCAAAATTTGGTTAAGAATTAACTTCTAAGACTTCTAAGAAAACAGCTATTGATACAAGAGTGGCTACATAGGTAGCTAATAAAGGAGAATATTATATATGTAACCCAAGAGTTCAGGAAAAAAGTCCACGATTTTTACTAGAATTTAAGAAAATTCACAAAATTAAAGCATTGAATACTAATATACTGATAGTATTTAAGAAGAATATCTCTGTAGGCCAATGATCTTGTTAAATGTACTGTGTTTCTCATATAATAAGGCCGGGTCTTATTTTTTTTTGAGCCCCGAAAAAATGGCTAGGCCGTCTTTTCGGGGATGACTTAATTCCCCCCCTTGCATCTTCGGGTGGGCGGACGGCTTGGATGTTGACCTCGGTGTATCGGGGTCAACGCAGGCAGCACCATATCTGGGTGTGCAACAAAAGTACTTCCTAACGGCAAGCCCCCCCACCATTCCCCCCCATTTCGCATGTTTTAATATAGGCCTTAATATGGGGGGAGGGGCTTAATTTCATTTCATGCCTATAAAACATGCTGGGACTTCCTATTGGGGGAGGCCGTATTGTTGGAGAAACGGTATAATAGTGGCGGTTTTGAAAGAGGCAATCAAACATTTTAGCATGTTATTCTAGGTGCCTCTTCGGTATTTACTGGGAATGCTTTATATCAACTTTAGTCCACTGTGGGAACCTGTGATTGAGCTTATAAGGTAAGTCTTTGTTTTTTCAAGGAAAAGAGCAAATTGGGTATTGTGGTTAAGGATTCTGATTCTGGTCAGCCCTGAGCCATGGGATCTCACTGGGTGATGTGAGATCAGTCCCACATCCTTTATTGTGGTAATTGTAGGAAAGAATATAGTATATGTCACTTTGAATTTCTGAAAGAAAAGCAAATATAGTTCTACAATTCTATAGTTATAAATAAGGACAAAAATCAATTGTATATACCTGTGAATTAAGTGGCGTGGAGAGTTAGTTTAATGTGCTAATGAAATAAGTGTCTTATTTCTGGTGAGACTGTTGAATATGCCATTATTTTGAAGGAGGGGATAATTATCATTGTTCAGCCTATGAGAAATATGACTTTATTTTTGGCTTACTATTTTCTGGCACCTGGGTGGGTTTATTTTTACTGTAGTAGATGATCGATATAATATGAATCATGATCTATATGATATGAATAGACAGCATATAATGCTTGAGTTAACTTGAAATCCTAGTTTCCACATCCATCATGAAGATACTATTTCAGAATTGCATTTGTTTTTTTGCTGCATCTACATATTTGCAGTTCTACCTGACTTGTCCATGAAAACTGTTTTGTTTCATAAATGAATTTACTCTTACAGAATTATGTTGGTTCCACCCATATACATTAGAATGTGACCTCAAAGTCTTTTGTTCAGCTTGAGTCTGGGAGAAAATGAATGATGCCAAACATTTGTGGGAAGGAAATTTACTTAATGAGCAGATGTTTGAGAAGTGAAGGAGGCAGTTTCATGTTTGTGGCAGTGCAGTTTAAGGACTCCTTGCACAATCAAAGGGTGGAGAACAAAGATCCTCATCCCTCTCTGTAATTGAGTTTCTGGGTGGAAAGGATCTCCTTTCTTATTCACATATGACGAACATCTAGCAGGCTGAATCCAAGGAGCTTTTCCATGAGTGGAGATGAGGAAAGAGCTGAAATCCCAGTTGCACAATAATGTAATGAATAATAAGTACCATAACTCTCAGAAGTAGCTGGCTGAACTTCCAGAATTTCTTTCACTGACATTGCTCACTAAATGATTTCCCACTCTTGTCCCTGCATATCTGTGTTGTGGATAAATCACTCTAAGTTCCTTCTTGCGAGTTACCCTTAATAATTAACCAAAAACATAATTAACCAAAAATGTAATTAAACACGCACGTATGTATGTATATATGTATGTAATTATAATTACATTTTTGGTTAGTTATTAAGGCAACTCACAAGAAGAAATTTAGAGTGTATATGTATATACCCTTAAATCAAACTATCAGGCAAATTAGACAAATTACTTTATGAAGGATCCTACTACTGAATTCTCCAGTTTAGCTGAAAATCTACTCTTCTCTAGAGTGTATTTAAGCTACAATGACCAAATTAAGGACAAAACTGAAAATGGGCAAATTTAAAAGAATTCCATAAGGATGTTTATGTTTATAACTTTGCTTTACAAAGGAAAATTCAAGAGCAAAACCAAGAAAACAAATACTTAAATAAATTTAAAGTATAGTTTTCTGAAATAAAGAGCTGCCCTTTCTGATAAAGAACATGTGGTCACTGAAATTTAAGCATATGCTGAAAAATGACCACAAATAAAAAGAAAAAAAAAATCAGTTCACTGTGCAAAAGAAAACTGAACAAGCAGAAACTTTTTAAAAAGAAAAGAATTAAAAACTAATCCCAACATGGTGGCTTTTTTCCTTCTCTTTGTGACTTAATGAAGCACCACTTCCTGAATATTTTAGTGCCATCATTCTCATGTTAAACTACTTTGCATTTTTGAAACAAATCAGATTATGGAATGATATGAGCAAGTTAGATATATTTTTCAGATTTTTTTATGCTTCTGTTTTTCAAAAATACAGCAAAATGATTTTGGACTGTGATACAATCTTATTGTGATAGAATAGGAATAAAGCCCTATAAATTAAGAAAAGAACCTTGCAAAATAGTTTATTTTCTGTGAAGGAAAGAAGACATGCCTATATGATAGTTAACAGTTGATTTATTCAGTTACCTTTTTAAAAAAATAAAATCTCTTTTTAATTAGGTCCCATGCAGATGAAATGGAAAACAAACTATTCTGGAAAGTTTATTATGAACATTTGGAAAAGGCTGTATCTTTTGCTGGTAAGACATTGTCATATAAAAGACTCAATAATGATTGAGGCAAGGCCCAATCTGCTTGTTAACTAAGCGAATAGTGTCTGACTTTGTACTCTTCAGGAATTTTCTCCCCTGCCCCCTCTGTCTCTCTCAGGTTCCAGTGGCAAAACAGGCATGCTTGTGCAGTGATCTGGAATTGTTGCTTGAGGTTTTATTTTTTTCTTTTCTGTCCCAAAGAACACAAAACAATATTGATAGGAGGCCTCAATTTCTGGAAGTACCCAATTTTCTGAGCCTGCTGCAGAACCCCAGTGATTGAACAGTATTCACTAAAGTAGAACTCTTAAATTTTAACTTTAAAAAAATATCTTTTTTTACAATAAATATATTTCTGTATATTTACAGTAATAGATTAGCTGGCATGACTAAAAAGATTTTGTTTTTAATGCTTATTTTGGTGATTTTTCCATAGAAAAAGAGCTACGTAATGAGTTAGAAGAAGAATCAAAAAATGTTACGGATGTTGGAAGTGAGGAAATCTATCAGCATCATGTCAGAGCTTTGTATGATGAGCAATTGAAATGTCAGACATGCTGTTATGAGAGAACGGATCATACAAACTTTAGGTTTCTCCTTTGGAAAGCAATGTCAAGATTTGCATACAGAGTGGAATCCAGGTCAAGAGAACTTTCTCCACTTCTACTAAGATTTATTAAGTAAGTGAGGATTTTTATGGAAGAAATATTTATACATATATGTTTCACAAACACTGTTGGAAATACTTGGTTACTCTTAAATAAACATAAGCAATTTTTCAATTAAATCATATGATGGAATAGTTCATATTATGACATCAACAAGGAAGTCTGGCTGTACTTGCTGCTTCCCCCACCCCAAGCACTCATGACAAACAGACCATGGTGTGTAATGGACTGTGAGAATAACTTTTAGGAATAGGAGCAAGACCTGCAACCAAGACATTGATTAGATAAGTGAAATATAAGTCCAAAGCAGAAATGCAGTTTTGAGAAAATGTCTGAGACCTGATTCTCCCCAGTTCTCTTGTAGATAAAGGCACGGGGGCTGGGGAGCTGCATTCAGGTGTGTAAGATTCTGTTACTCTAACACTATAATAAAAGTAGTTTATTATAGCTTTGTTTCCTAGTTGGTCTGCTATGAAGTGCAATATCAATAGGAAAAGTAAAGAGTCTGTCGGGCGCTTGTGTGCATAACACAGACATTAAAACAGAGGAAGAGGTAGGGCCACGAAGAGTAACAGTGATACAACTTACTATTTACTGAGTTATTATTTACTGAGGCACAAATAAGTCCCTAGAATAAATTGAAAAAGGATAGGTAGGAAGACTAACTCTTGCATTTTGTTTTGTTACAGCATTGAGTATTATCCTGCTGATTCACAAATAGCCCCAGTGCAAGATCTTAGAAAGAAAAGCAGTTGTAGTGAGGATGTAAAAGATCTTCCAGAGAAAATGGATCTTCAAGACACAACTGAGGATGAGTCATATGATTTTGAAGAAGAGAAGCAAACTTCTGAAGGCCAAATGACTGAAGAGATGCCAAAAAAGAAAACCAGAAGAGCTGCAACCAAGTATGTTTGTCTTAACTGCAATGAAAATTATAAGGGTTTTCTTCAAAACTTGTAAGAAACCCTGCATTTAAATATCATTTAGCTTGTAGTTCTTGTTATTCAATCCCTAACATGCCTTGCATAGTTTCTTAATTCTTTCTTTCTCCAGTCATTAGAATATGTAAAAGGAGAACATTTTAGTCATATGTGGATTAGGCTCACAATTTAGGTTCAGTAATGTTGATTTGTTAAACAAGTCCATGATTTAATGTAACATGATTCCAGTGATGGATCAGAGACAAAGTGAAAGGAGTTCACATTTATTGTGGATAACCCTTAAAAAACCTGGGTGCTCCTTATCTGTATGATGAGCAGGAAGCAGCAGAATGGAATATTTTGCAATTAAATAATTCAAAATTTGGAAAGATGTATGCAAATATTGTATATACTGTCCTCTTTTAGTTTATATAGTTTGGATTGAAAAAGTGAGAAAATTTAAGGAATAGTTTTGAAGGTGAAAGAGGCAACAAAAACAGGTTTATTGTTCAATGTTTAAAAATTTAAGATTATTTCGGCAGGCAATACCAACCCCATGAAATTTCAGCAGAAATTGAAATAGTGGTAGTTTTATCATTTTAAGCTTAAAATTTTACTGCAGTCAAGAAATCATGAAAGAGTCATAAAAGAATGTTCATGTCTTCTGACTTACTAGTTGGTGTTCATGGATGCATTCTGCCAGTCTCCTGCCTGTTTGTCCTATGTAGTCATTACATTGTATGTTGTAGATTAGAGTTCCCCAACCTTTCCGGTTTTGCGGACCAGCAGGTGGGGAGAGGAGTTGGTTGCTCGTGCAAGTGGGGATGTGTGCTTGCGCTCACTAATCTCTTACATGAACAGCTCAAGGCTCGGGTTTGGGACCCCTGTTGTAGATGCCTTCTGTTTTTTTCTGTTGGGGCTGCTAGGTTTTTGGTTTACTTAGGTGTTTTGAAGGGCTTTAAGTTAACTTGTGTATTACATGAATTCCTTTTGGTTGTGATATTCTGTTGGTAGTTTCTGAGATGTTTTTGACATATATGGCAGCATTACTCTTTTAAGGGCTTGATTTGCTTGTGCTGTATTGGGTTGAATGTCAGGCACTTTTTGATGAAGTTGTGTGGATATCCATTTTGTTGGAATATGTTGCATAGATGCTCTGTTTCCTTTTTCTGCTGTTCAGAGTTGCTGCAGTGAGTTTGTGCTTGTCTAAATAAAGTTCTTACGCACCTTCTCTTGTGGGAAGTTGGGTTGTTGCTTTGGTACTGGAGCACTTGGTGTGGGTGGTTTTTCTATACAGTTTGCCATTGTAACTGCTGATCAGGATGTCCAGGAAGGGGAGTGACTTGTTTTCTTCTTCTCTGGTAAACTGGATTCCTTTAAAGATGTTGTTGAGGTTCTATGAGTGTTCTCTAATTGGCCTCTTTTTATTATGGTGAAGGTGTCTACATATCTGAACCATATTTGGGTTGTATTTGTGAAAGTGCTGTGGCTTCTCGACACTTCATAACAACCTCCGCATAAGTCCTGAAAGTGGTGATCACATAGGTGTATTTCAATTCGTTGGTAAGTTTGTCCATCAAATTGGAAGTATGTAGTTAGGCAGAAAAAAAATCTGACCACATTGCTCCACAACACATCTAATCTAACCAAATATATGAAGATTAAAACACCCAGGATTATGAGATCCTTTGTGTATTTGGTTAAGTCAGGTGTGCTTTGAAACAATGTGGTCATAGATTCTTTGGCTAATTCTGGATCTGTAGACGTGAAAAAGGCTGTGATATCAAATGAGACTATGATTTCTTCCTCATCTATAGTATCGATTCTGATTGTTTGAAGGCACTGTTTTGGGGGGTTGAGAGTCAAGCCACTAGAATATAAACTGAGACCAAACCTCACTGCTTACTAGCACTGATGATTTTACTTAGTTTGGGTAATGAAATGTCTGTAAGAAAAAAACAAACAAGCTCAGAGAGCAAACACCCCTCAATTCAGTACTGGTGTAAGAGCTGATTTTTATACTTGTAAGAAATCTAATAACTGTTTCCAAAAGTCTGCTTCAAAGAACTCAAAAGAAGCAAATAGTTCTAACCATGACATAATGATATTATTTGGGTCATTAGGGGTTAGAAGTGTCTAACCAACGAAGTGACCCCTTGGATTTTTCCAAATTAAATACAACAGTGTTACCTTCTTTGGAAGAAATATGAGACTGGAATTTTCTGTTTTCAGTTGATAAAAAAGTGTTTAGTTTTCTACAGCTTAGCATAACATCCAAACTCATAATTTGGTCTGTCTTGTACTTAATATGATTAATGGAAGCAGATTTCAAACTGTATGGAATTGGCTTTTTTGTTGTTATTACTCACCAGCTAAGGATACCGTTAATGGAGTTTGGGTGACATAAATGTAGCTAACACAGAATGGAAGCAAAGGCATCTGAAATTGCATGGACAGTCCTGGCTTGTTCCTTTTCATAACTTCTGAACCGAGACAGGCTATCAGTCAATACTAGATTCAATAAAATAACTCAGCGATCTTTGCAAAGAGCTGTGTAAACTTAAGTACATAAGAACATTTAAAAGAAAGCATTTGATAAATTTGTTTGTAGTTTTGAAATGTTTCCATCTCAAAAGTCATATTTTGTTTTTTGATGTTTTACTGACAGCTGGTCTGTTTTGTTTTGTTTTTCAGGCAGCTTATCAGTCACTTACAAGTTTTCACTCAGTTTTCAAATCCCCGTGCTTTGTATTTAGAACCCAAATTGAATGACATATATGTCCAGGTAAATAATTTTTTTATGATTAATTTAAAAAAACGATTAAAATGATTATAATACACATGCATATTTATTATCTTACAGCTTGGAAATAATTTGGGAAAGTTTTTTGTTTCAGAATTAGTTCCCAACCTGATGTCTCCAGAGAAACTTGAGAATGTCACTTCCAGAATTACTAGCCAGCATGAGAGTAACTAAATTATTCTCTAGAAATTAGTTGCTTAACAAATAAATAAAAGTAAAGCAAACATAAGATAGTAAAAATAAAAAGGGAAAAAGGAAAAATAAGCAAACTGTACTCACATGATAATCTGAATTGTGATGTTCACATTAGAAAATAATAATTTCTGAGCTCTGTTATGATCTTTCTTGGCTGGTGGTAGAATTATTATGATAGTAGTGATGAATAGCTTAAATCAGCCTTCATTTTATTAAGAAAAATCAGCTGCAAGATCTAGGCTTGCTGTCTCCTATCCCAGCAAGTCAAATAGACAAAGAGGAATTGAGTTTTGTTAAGTATATCAGGGGTCCCCAAGTTGTGGGTTGTGGCCCAGTACTGGGCTGCAGCCTGTTTGGAACCAGGCTGCAGAAGTGATAGGTGAGTGTGTGCGCGTGTGCAGCTCCATTTGTGTGAACAGTGGGTACACATGCAGGCACAAATAGAGTTGTGCGCACACTCACTTGTGCAGAACCATCCCTTCACCCCCCTACCATTCCTCAAAGCCAGAAAGGTTGGGGAAGGCTGAAGTATAAGATGAATTTTGGGGGAAAGGAAAAGCTTTATAGAAGTAATGATGTAAGTGAGATAGCGTAGGGATTGCATAAATGTTTTTGGATTATAACAACTGATTATGCTTTTTGACAAGGAACTGATTCTTGGAGATTCCTGTTTTGAGGATCATTCTTTTTAATGTGCAATCTTTACAGTAGCTGGCATTCAATAATAGAATGTAAATCATTTTATAGTAATTAGAACTACCTGTCCCAAATTCCTTGTTGGAAAAAATAAAACATTACCACAGTTTAGGGATAGATATTAAGAGTCTAGATTGTATGGTAATTATTAGAGGACCAATGGTCTTATAGAAGAGCACATATGTGTTTCAGATTCTAACAGTGGTGTAAGAGCACCATTGAAGTTTATGGACTCTAGGTATAAGAACAATTGTTAAAATGCCAAAAGCCTTCCCTCCTTGTGGATTCTGCTATTTGCATAATTACTATCATCCATGGATTCTCTTCAATAAAAGGACAGTGTAAATTGTGACAGAATATTGATTGTAATACACTACTCTCTAACATATCTGTTTTAACCCTGGTTTGTTTTAAAACATTATTTTCAGCTGCTGACCCACCAAGACCAAAATGTGCAAAAAGTAGCTCTTGACTGTATCATGACTTACAAGCATCCACATCTTCTGCCCTATAAGTAAGAGATAATGTCTGCATTGAATTATATGTGATTATACACTCACACATATAACTTCAGACTTAATATATAGATTCTGGAATTGTGTTATTTTCTATTTCTTTTATATGATGTGCATTTTTGGCCTCTAATATTTTAGATGTAAACTTGCCTGGTTTAATGACATTCACTATCATACTAGTTTATGTTACATTTTCATTATGGAGTGTGAGGGAGATGGGTGATTTAAAAATGTGACAGAAAGATATATTAAAATTATATATTATATATTAAAAGAACATATTAAAAAGAATAGAAATTCCTTGTTATGTTGGCATTTTATCCAATCTGTTTGATTTTACTTTCATGTTATATATTTTATAAATTTTGCTGGTCATGGATTGAATAAGCATCTCTTACATATTCTTCTCAAATACTAAAAAGTTTGTGATCTTGTATTTTAATAAATTATGTGAAGAATCTTTTTGTTTAAGTTGCATTATGTACTTACAGAGAGAATTTATATCGGCTATTGGAAGACAAGAGTTTTAAAGAAGAAATAGTTCATTTCAGTATTTCTGAAGAAAACAGTATAGTAAAACCACAGCACCGACCAGAACTTATTCCAGTTTTGATGAGGTAAGGGACTTTTGTATGTTAATATAGATACAGGTTTACTTTTTATTGCTTTAGGCAATATGCATTTTTACTCCTTAGAGTATAATATTTTAAGCTTCTACTTGCACAGTTTACCAGACTATACATATTTTGATGAATGTTTAAAAATGAAATCTTACTTCCTACCTCCCTGAGAAGATGAAAATTCTGATCCATTGTCCAGATTTTACTGTAAATATACCATCTTTGTAATAAATTTGTTACTTAACTCATATTCTTTTATAAAACTACTACCACAACTTATTTTTAAAAAAGTGGGTTTTCTCTGAAATTATAAAAGCTAGTTATTTCTAATCAAAACAAAGGACAGATTTCCCAATGGTGGGCTTGATGGTAGACTTGGTGAAGACCGAATGTGGTGAAATTGTTATATTACTGATTTGGGTTTGGAGGAAAGGCTCTCTGAATACTTCTAAGCCAAGGGTCTTCAAACTTGGCAAGTTTAAAACTTGTGGACTTCAATTCCCAGAATTCCTGAGCTAACATGACTGGAGGAGGAATTCTGGGAGTTGAAGTCCACAAATCTTAAAGCTATCAAGTTTGAAGACCTGCTGTAAGTCATGAAATTTACTTCATACTATTTACTACTTTCTACTCTAGCATATTTCAAAGGTATTGTAAAAATAAAATGGAGGCAAAACAATATGCATGTAAACTGGAGCTTAATTAAATATAGAGTTATTTGAATAATTTTATGGCAACAATATAGAAAGGGTTTTTTTTCCAAAGTGGGTGACTGTAGAAGAAAAAATTATCAATAAATAAAATAAATGTGGATAAAGAATGAAATAAGTTCTAGTAAGTATGGATGGAAGAATGAAACAACTCCCAATTGTGGATTATTTTGCAGTAACATTCATTATAATTATTGATCAGATGACTATCCCACCTTTATCTTTTATATCTCAAGATGTTTTCTCCATAACAAAAACCAATGAGGTGGATTGGGCTGAGAGGAGTGGCTATCCAATGATTCCACCAGCTTCCATGTCTAAAGGAGGACTAGAATTCTGGGAGTTTCTAGTTCCAGTTTCTAGATCAGGGGTTGCCAACCTTTTGGACCTCAGGGACCACCAAACTCATAATTTTAAATCCCGCGGAGCAGAAACCCTGGGAAAATCCCCAAAAAGTCTGCAGGAAAATCCCCCACCCAGTTTTCCTACCGATCGATCATTCTTTATTTGGGATCGCAGGACACCGTCTCCAGCTCCATTCTCAGGAGGAGAGAGAGAGAGACTTTTGGTTTCATTCAAGGAAAGCAGCAGAAGTCTTTCTTTCTCTCCCACAAACTCCACCAGAACTGAGACCTTGTGAGGCTTGTCACATTGGCATAGCCTCTTGGAACAGGATGCCTTTCAGGGTCCCAAATAGTCATTTCTAGCGGAGTTTGGGGGAGAGAAACAAAGACTTTTGCTGCTTTCCTTGTGTGCAGCCAAAAGAAGAAGAAGAAAGAAGCGGAAAGAAGCAGCCTGGTGGCCAGGCGAGGCGCGTGGGGCAAGTAGGGCAAGTTCCCCGCTCTGCTCTTCCCCCCCTCCCCTCACTACCTCGTATTGTTCGCAATGCAAGCGACGCAAGCCTTGTGTTCCTGCGGGCCATGTGGGCGGTGCAGCCTTGTGTTCCCACGCAGCCTGGATTAATTGCTTTGGGGGTGACATTTCTCTGCGGACCACCAAAATTTTCTCACAGACCACCAGTGGTCCCCAGCCCACTGGTTGGCAACCACTGTTCTAGACCAGCACTTAATCACTACACCAAACTACCTCTTTGATTTGGGATTATTATTGCAGTTTGTAACATGCAGAGAATTTCTTCTAGGACTAGCACATACTGAGCCTTTTGCCTATAGACCCATTGCTTCTGATAAGCTAACATGATTTCTTTTTACCCCTTGAAGAATTCTATATGGACGGATGAAAAACAAAACTGGAAGCAAAACACAAGGGAAATCAGCAGCAGGGACCCGTATGGCTATAGTTTTGAGATTCCTGGCAGGCTCTTTGTCTGAAGAAATAAGGGTGTTTTTGGATCTGCTCTTTGAACCTGTGAGACATTTCAATAACGGTATGTTTTGCACAGGAAAAAAAACTTTTGGCAAATATAATAGAACTGTCAACATGTTTAAGGGGATTGAAGCTTGTAGAAATAAACATAACACAAAACCATATGGGAATCATCTTTACTGTCAACATTGCCCATTGAAGATTGAGCGTGGCTGGTATCCTTGAATATATATTGCAAAATAATATTACTGTATTTCTATGCATGCATTATTGCATTGGCTCATTGCTATTGTTCTTTTGTACTGTTTCAAGATTGAGATGGTTTAATAAAAGTATAAAGAAATTAATAAGAATGAGTGGGAAGTGGAGCGTTGGATGACATGCATGGTTTCTTAACATTTAAAGCAGAATATGGCCTTTTCGAGGTGACAGGTGACCTGGTGACTACGGTTAATATCACATTCTTATGACTGCAGTCACTTTCTCTCTGGTTAATAGCAGTGGAGAAAAAGCAATTTCCCTTCCATTTCCTTCTCTTTCCCCACCCCAATTCTCTTACCCATTTTCCTCATTTTTCTTTATATATTTTTTTTATCCCACTTTTATTATACTCTTTCCCCCTCCTATTTTCCGCACAACAACCCTGTGAGATGAGTTGGGCTGAGAGAGGGGCTGGCCCAAAGTTACCCAGCTGATTTTCATGCCTAAGACAGAACTAGAGCTCAGAGTCTCCTGGATTTTAGCTTGGTTGTTTTGTTTGATAGGGTGGTCAAGATTTCAGATGACTTTGATGGGCTCAGTCATGAACCATCAACCCTCTCAGAGCTAATGCTAATTCTTGGGGGGCAAGAATGAAAGCTTTTAGTTACCTAGGCAATTGCTCTGAAAGTGCTCTACAATTGATTTTGAGTCTTGTTATAGGAATGCTAATACTCTTCAAGTGGCCTTTCAGCAGCCATGTCATAACTACAGTAGTGATGACAGGTAAAACAAGTGTTAACAGTGGTTGAGAATTATAGTATATTGAATTGTCATGAACTGCAACCTGTGATTTCAAGGATTATGCGGCTTTGGTGTTGCCTACATGAAGCCCTAATATTATAAAAGAGGTTGTGGAATGACTGAACAGAATCTTGAAACATGAACCTGCCTGTTCAGGACAATTACGTCCTACAATATTTTGTGTTGAGTTCAACTTTCTTTAATGTAAATTCATGAGCATGAGCACGCCATATGCAGCAATGACGAAGAAGCAGATGAGAAAGTTGACTTAATAATATTATATTAAGGAGATTTGTTGAGCAGTTGATTATGGAAAAGTAAAGTTTTATAATTCTAGAGATTAATGCTGGATCAGCATTATCTAGTGGAACGGAGATTTTGTGTACACCTAATAGTAAGCATTTAGTTACTGAACTCAGTCATCACATCTCATAGGTCTTGATTAATGTGAAATAACAGTTGCACTTTGAAAACATGAACATTTACCATGTGTTAGAATCCTAAACGTACTGTTTTTGAAACTGAAAATTGATTTGTTAAGTGAGACTAACATGTATGCATATATAGGGTTTCAGCCTTCTCCTTTTTATTAGTTAGAGTGGGTTTTTAAATATATTTTTAAATATCACCTTAAAATTTGATTTCCCAAACTGGGCATTGTAAGTAAAGCACAACCATTCTTAATTTGCCAATTTCTATGAATTATGACCAAATCTTGAATCTAGATTTACACATACGAAATATTGAATAGTGTCCCCATTTGTAGAATGTTTATCGATATACATTCATTATTCTCTTCCTTCCTTTTTTATGTTTTTTCTCTCTTTTAAAGGACATTGCCACTCTGCAGTGCTTCAAGCTGTGCAAGATTTGGATTTATCTCAAGTCCTACCATTAGGCCGTCAGCATAGCCTTTTCAACAGCTTGGAAGTAGTACTAAAAAACCTGGGACATCTAATCAGCCAGAACCTGCCTGAGATTTTACAGATTTTGCTTTGCATGACAGCAACAGTATCACACATTCTTCAGCAAAGAGAAAAGGTGAGAGCTGCTCCATATTTAAGCTGACATGTGAGGGTTAAAAAAAATATTGGTGTAATTAATTAAGAAAGGGATGCTAATAAACTAATCTGGTATTCTTTCTCATTTAGTGTACTTGAATCAAAGTAATAAAGATAAATGTGTCCTTGAATCAAAACAATAAAGATAAAAGCATTACTTTCAAGGATGCAATTCAGTTATTTTTATAAAATTAAACGTTTGGTTTAGGTTCTAAATTTAAAACAGAGTGCAATGTGTATATTTTAGATATACAGTATCAAAAAAAAAAAAAGATTATTGATAATATTAGTAACCTTCTGTTACAGTCCTTGTGGGTATTTTTGGCAGAGTCATGGTACGTTAAATGAAGTGCACTACTTCAGTGCTACATAATAGTAAGCTAAATTTGCTTGTGAAATTTAATTCAATTGTCTTGATAGCCCTCCTCTGTTTTACCAACATCAGATCAAATCTTTATTATGGTTTAACATAAAGTTTCCATATGCTAACTAGCATAGAGCAATAATCCTAATCCTTAGATATGGGGAAAATAATTACATTGTTAAATTCCTTTCTGGCTCTGACCTTTACGAGGCAGCTGGTTAAACTGGGAAAAGGCTGATCTTTTTTAGCAAGATAATTACTGGTGAACTTTTGCATAAAGTTACTCGATAACACTGAAATAAATCTGTAATTCAATAACCCCCAAAATACTTTCACCATTGTCATTTGTTAAACTGAATTTAACAGTTAATTATCTATTGAGGAGCTAAAAGATACTTAAAGTCTGTGAGAGTTCTATTTGTACTCCACTTGGTAGTTTTCTGAACGTATTAGTCATACATTGCAGACAAACATTCCCATTTGTGTTAAATTTTAACTTTGTATAGTTATAAAGAAACTTAGCTTTACAATTTCCCAAAGTGTGCAATTCCGAATAATATTTTTGTGGTTATGGTGCTTAAATTTTCTTTCTTTGCTATGCAAGTTCTTAACTTGTGCTACAGGATTTTGTGTTGACTTTACCTCTCACACATTATAGAAGTTACAATTTCCTTAGTAAGAAAGTTATAGAGAAAAAAATGCATTTATACAGAGTGTAACTAGCAAAATATCTAAAAAGCTACTTCCCAAAGTATCATCGTATCTAAGTAGATATAATATATGGATAATGCATGCTAATGTCTTAAATCAGCTTTGCTGGCTGAGGAATTCTGGGAGTTGAAGTCCACAAGTCTTAAAGTTGCCAAGGTTGGACACCCCTGTCTTGAATAATTAAGATGTCTTAATGTCTTAAATATTTTGACCCAATTCGTGAATAAGAAATGCAATTTTCTGAAAATGTTTTGCTTAAGGAAAGAAAGAACCACCAGTTTCTTTTACAGATTCAACTCAGATTTATCAACCAGCTGAAAAACTTAAGGCGCCTTGGACTTAAGCTTATAGCAGACTTTTTCTCTGACTTTGAAATGTACAGCTTCAGTGGAGAAGAGATTGATGCTGTGTTCTGTGCAGTGGTGTGGCCCCAGGTAAGGCTGCTCCTTTCAGTAAGTGATTCCCAAGGTTAGCCCATACCCTCTGGGGGTAGAGTAAATTTTGGGGCAAAAGGAAAAGAGTACATTAAATCATCTCACTTCATTATCTCCATCTTAGATGGTCCACATTTTAATGGCTTATATTTTACTTAAAATGTTGTCGATCTGTCGGGTGCCTGAGGATCAAGAGGTGGGGTTGAATCTTTGTTTTGGCTATATTAATTGTTACTGGTGGAGCTGTTTTTATCCTGGCTGCTGTTGTAGATATGTTGTTTTGCTGCTTGGCTTTTATATTTTAACAGTTGTTAGCTGCTCACTTGAGATTAGTGTCCATATAAATTGAACATATGGTTCAATAGATATTGGCTGAATTTTCATCACTGTGACATAGGTCAGCATATATGACTCTACGTTTGCAACTGAGAAATGTAAAAATTACAGAAGAGTCTCCTTTAGATGAAATATATTTATCCTTAACTTAGCCAGAGTTACTGGGCAAACATTTCTGCATTCAGAGTTCCATCTTCCCTTATTTTCATGTGTACCATTTGGCCTCCATAATAGGTGAAGCTACTGGCTAAGTCCCGGTGGAGTAGGAATGGAATCTGAAGTTCATAAATTCACCTTCTCCCTCTTAAATCAGGCCAACTTCCACCAACAAAGATGAAATAAACCACATTTATAGTAGTTATGTGATATTGTATAATATTTAAATATAAATACTATGAAATTTCTTCTTGTTAGCTTCGGTTGGAAGGAAAATTTCTGTAATTTAGCCAGAAATGGTATGTGATATCCACCTTTCTCTGGAGCTTGCATCCTGGGACTTAGGAACTATTCCTTAAAATGTAGCAGCAGGCCCCTCTCACTTGGTGAACTGAAAGCAATGCCTGACGGTAACATCCTGGGTTGGACTCTTCAAAGTATTTTTGCGCTTGGGGTCAATGGATGCAGCTTTTGCTATTCTGGTGCAAAAGGCATTGCAGCAAATATTGGTTGCATTCATACTAGTTTCATATGTTATGCTACATGAAAGGAACCACTGGCATAATATAGCAGGTGAGCTCAGATAGTTCATTGTTCTTTCAGATGCAAATAGTCTTGCTTCTTCTATTCTGAATAGCTGTCCTATGATATACTTCTTAACAGATCCTGATTTTATCTTCCTGCTTTATTTTTTATTTTTTCCAGATCACTAGGCTGGCTTCAGAGAGCCAATATTCTCCTACTCCTTTACTCAAAATTATTCACATTTGGAGCAAAAACCCCAGGTAAGCTATTTGTTTTTAGCAAAACAAAACCACACTCTTCCAATAATTATTATAGACTGTACTATTTACACCATTTAGAAGCTTTAAATCCAGTCGGTTTATTGCCTTGCAGGTTAACCTGCAATTGTGGTTTTAGAACTCTCTGCCATCTGCATTAGTCACAGACTACAACCCCCTTTAGCTCTTATTATTCACATTGATGATTGGGCTGACGGAAATTGTATGTCAGTCAGAGATGGAGAGCCTTATTTGTCTGCCTGTGTTCTTTGTGTACAAACAAAGCAGTTAGGATAACTGTAATGCAATACTGGGATCAGGCAAAAAAAGGGCTAGAACCATGTATTGCAAATATTTGTGTCCTGCCAAAATATAGTGTGCTTTTTGTCCTTTTCCCTGTTTGCTTTTCTTTTCCTGAAGCTGTGAACAAGAGTAAACTGCAAGCTTGTGATTCAAAGAGGCATATAGGAGAGGTCACTGCAGCTTCTGACGTTTCTGCTTTCCCAGTCCCAACCTTTTTAAATCAAGTGATTTTATTGTATTGTACCCAAACAATGATTTACAAGTGTCAATGGCTGGCTTTGTACAACCAAAAAGGCAAAACTAAATAATGTGATTATTTAACCATATCTTAAAACAGTGTATGAACCATGTCTTATTATAGCAGGAGTTCTATCTATTGAACTTCTCAAACATTTTTCATTGTACAGATAGAATCGTACTCAGTTATATTTTCACCTCCAAGGCTAGTGCGTACGTTTGTAGAATAGTCTGTTCCTGATCTCGAGTTTGGAATTTGGTAGCACTTACTTCAGGGGATTTCATTCTTTTGGTTCACTGTTAATATCTGAAAATGGTCATAAATGTTTTTATAGTAAAATAAGTTGAAGCAGTTTCTTTAAGTTGTCCACCAGAAGAATGAAAAACTTGTCCTTTTCTCAGTTTTGAATCCCATACAATTTTATTTCTAAAAATTTCCCTTACCCCTTCTCACTTTACTTTTAGGTATTTCGTTTTGCTGGCTAAGCAGAATCCAGGGCATCCAGAATATGACATATTAACAAATGTATCTGCTGTGCTCTCAGCCAAGGCTCTGGGAGAGGGAACAGCTGGTATTGTGATGGATGTGATTGACAGCCTTCTCAATATTCCTGACTTTGAACCTAATGACCAATGTAGCAGTTTGACAGTGACTGGCTGCATCTTTTTTGAAGTTGAAGAAATAGCGGGAGGTAGGAATGGATAGGTCTCAGTTGGATGGCATTGTTTGTTTGTATATTACAATACTGCCCATTTTCATAGGGCACAAGGAGTTCAGAAAAACAAAGAAAATATATAAAATAAAGTCAAAGGCACATAATATTAAAACTATATAATTGGCAGTCTGGCTACCATTGGACTCAAACGCTCAGTGAAATAGCTAGGTTCTAAGCAATTTTTAAAATGGCTTCAGTGTATTATATTTGAGCTTTACAGAGGTACGTACAAAGTACAGGCAGTTCTCAATTTATAACCACAATTGAGCCCAACATTTATGTTGCTAAGTGAGAAATTTGTTAAGCAAATTTTGTCCTATTTTACAACCTTTCTTGCCACAGAAGGTAAGTGAATCACTTCAATTGTTAAGTTAATAACACGGTTGTTAAGTGAATCTGGCTTCTTCATTGACTTTGCTTGTCAGAAGGCTGCAAAAGGTGATCACATGACCCTAGGACCCTACTGTCATAAATATGAACCAGTTGTCAAACATTTGAATGTAAATCACATCACTACGGGGATGCAATGGTCATAAGTGTATCTGTGGAGATTCTCATGGTCATGGTTGTCCCAAAGGTGCTTTTTCAAGAGGTGAAGAAGCTTCTTGGATGAGAAGTAAAACATCTTCAAAGAAAAACAAAGTCCAGTTGCCTCTTGAAAAAGCACATTGGGACAGTCATAAATGTGAAAAATGGTCATAAGTCACTTTTTTTCAGTGCCATTGTAACTTTGAATGGTCACTAAATGAACTGTTGTAAGTTGAGGACTACCTGTATATACTTCTATTCAAAGCTGTTTTACACAGAACAAAATGAAAGATACTAGTTTTAACTTAGGATGTTTAATGGGTTGTCCAGGCCCACAAGATTCAGCCTTTGCATTGAAGTAGCCTTCACTTGCCTTCCTGCAATTCGAAGTCAGAAGTGTAGTGATTACAGGAATTACCTTTTCACCTTTGAATGAACTGTTACAGAAGAGTGGCCTAATACGGGCTTCTCCTCAGAATGAGGCACAGATTGAAAAAGCAAAGTTGCCAGCTTTTAAGACTTACACTTGAAGAACAGTCACCTTTTCAATATTTGGTATAACTACATGACCTTTTGATAGCTAAAAATGACAAAAAAATTAAATGACTCAGAAATGGGAGTATATGCAAGATTCTGGTTGCCTTGCAAAGTTTCTACATTTAAATATTTTGAAAAAATGTGTTGTTCATCATCATCATAATGTATATAAATAAAAATAATAGCAAAGTTGAAACACGTTTTTGTTTTTTTAAATTGTAACTTTCTCACTAGGCTGTTTTGTAAGGATTTGTGTTTTCTGCATAGAAAAAAGGCTTGGTTTTTCACTTGAAATGGCCATATTCTATATCTTCATTTTAGATATTCCTAGTATGGGGACGAGACTAGTTCTCCCCCATGTCCCTTCAGTTCTTCAGTATCTCAACAAAACTATGATCAGTGTAGACAGGATAAAGAAAAAAAAGTACAACGCACAACTCAGCAAAGAACTCAACATTCTTTCAAAGTAAGTGGTTTCTTATCCTTTTTAATAGTACATATTTAGAGAGATTTGTAATGCTGTAGAAATGGTGGAGAAGAAACAGCTCTTTTTCTTTGGTGGGAAGGGGGTTAATAGAAAATAGTAGATGCAATCTCATCCTAACCTCTCAGAAGGCAAGAAATTAGATGACTTTGACAATTGTTCCATTTTCACTCAGAACAGATGCAAAAAAAATTTTTTTCTTCCTCTACATCTCTCATATTTCTGTGAATGCAGTGACATGTTCTTTCTATGCTGAAGTCCAAAACTTTTCAAGGCTACATATTTAAAAAGCTTGGCTTTTAATTTAGACACCTGAAATATTACATTGTGATATAATGTGAGTGTATTTTCTGTTGTATTTAGGATTAGCAAGTTTATAAAGGATAAGAACCAGAGTTCTGTTCTGATTGGCCTCCTGCTCCCTTTCCTTCAGCAGACCAACATTACTCAGGTAGGTTTACAATAAAGTGTGTGGAAAATAATATTTTCTTTCAGATTAGATTACTTTTATGATGATATTGTAAATGTTTCTGCACTTATGAACTTTACATGCATTCAGGCTGACACTGAAAGGTAACTGGATTATGTACAAGCCACAGCAAAGAATGAAGCTCAGCAGGATATGAAAAATAGTGGATGAAGCAGAGAGAACAATAGGGAAGCCTGGGCTATGGTCACTTCAGTTAGATTCAGAATGAATCTAATGTGTTGTATACTGATCTATGCATTTAGGTAACATACTTTTGTGTTATAAAATAAGAGGTTTCTAAATACAAATGTAGAGAACAGAATACCCTCTTGAACATCTTGTTAATTTACTGTAAATCATTTCTTAGCTCCCCATCTACTTCTGCAGGCATCATCTTTACATCTTTGAAAACATAAATACAATTTTCCAAAGGCTTTATAAAAGACCCATTTTGGTGTGATTCGCTGAACCAGCCCTGCCTTAGTTATGCAAAGAATGGGAGCAAAAGAAAATCTGATCTTGGCATAAGGAAAAAAAAACCTTCATGTGGCCTTCATGGATGACCAGCTGACATTAAGTTTGTCATAAATGTTTGCAGGGAGCCGTATCATAGTGCTTGTATAAGCATACAGGGAAAATGCGAAGCCTTCCAAATAGATTGATCCTTCCATTCTTTTTTACTCCTTGTTTACAGGACTTCCCCAAAAGTTGCAAGATAAATTACAATTGTTTTCCTCAAAACCAGTAATTTTACTCTTAATTGAGTAAAATTATCAAGAAGTCAAGTCCAGAAATGACTTTTGTTCATTAACTTGAGTGTTTGATTTAAAATTCAGAATGTCGGCACATGACATAAATCTGATCAAGAATTTCAGTTCACTTTTTAATCTTGAAATATCACTGACTCTTAACTGGGAAGTTCTTACTCCAGTGTTATTGTGAACATGCATAAAAGAAAACTCAGGAATGTCACATGATTAACATGATAATAAAGAGTAGGAATTTTCTATTGGAGACTGGATGATGTTTTTTCCTTCTGCCAATAAAATCCACTATTAGGATCATCCTGCTTGACTAGCTATAAAAATCAATACTAAGTTTATTTACAGGAAAAAGTTGAAAATATTTACTGGTTTGTGATAGTTTGATGGAGATTCAATATTTACACTTATTGATAGATACTTCATTTTGTGATGGCACATTGATTGCTGTAATTTATTCAACCAAAATTTACTTGATATCTCTAAAATTCGCAGAAGAGTACATAAAGGTACTTTCAATAATCTAGTCAATTGTAGTCCTTTGCAGTGTATTTATGTAGAACACAGGTGTCAAACACATGGCATCACATTACTATCATGTGACATTTCACGACGTTTCCCCCATTTGCAGAGCTGGGGTGGGCATGGCTTGTGCGTCACAGGCCCATAGGCCGCCAGTTTGACACCCCTGATGTAGATGAATGCATGGATAATACTCAAGAAGAAAATATACAAGAATCAATAAGGCAAATAAGAGATAACTTAGTCCTGCAAAAGGAGAAGACCTGACAAAGAAACTCAAGATTACCCTACCTTGAATCCTTTCAACATAAGCAGTCGCAATAGGATACTCTGGCAGGCTTTCAAGATTCTGTTATTACACTTTAAGCAATAAATTAGCATTCCTGTAATCCTTGTTCTGTCTTTTTCCTGTACCTGGCCTACTGACAGTCTGTTTCTTTTAGGACACAGAGATTGACATTTTGGAGACAGTACAAAATCTACTGAAACATTGCTTAACTCCAGCAAGCTTCCTTAAACCTCTAGCAAAACTGTTCTCTGTTATTCAGAACAAGCTGTCTCGTCAAGCACTTTGTGGGGTTTTTGAGGTATTACTGTATATAAATGCTTTTTAAAAAAAATAGTCTTATCCCTCTATGATCCAGAGTGTTGAGTTGTTTTGTTCCACAGTAGAGGCTAATCTTGACTCCTTTATAAGTCCTTTTAAAATATTGTTCTTTTCTATCTTTTTGCCATAAAAAAACAGTATAGGTAGTCCTTGACTTATGACCTGTCACTGTTTGAAGTTACAACAGACCTCCCCAGGGCTACTTACAACCTGGATTTAAAGTTCTGATGGCCAGTGTCTTTCCCGCTGTCAGTACTGGGTCATTTGGTAACTGGCCCACATTTGTAGCTGTTTGCAGTGACCTGCAGTTATGTGATTTAGGATTTTTTTTGCTGGAAACTGGCATTTATGAGGACCCAGATTATTGGGAGCAATATGCTGACTCTAAACCACTTAGACAGAGCTATAAAGCACTGTGAAGCGGTATAGAAGTCTAAGTGCTATTGCTATTTATTTCCAGTTTCCAATAAAACAAGCCCAATGCAGACAGTGGATTTGCTAAAGGCTGCATCATTTGCTCAAGAACCACTGCAAATAGTTGTAAAATTGATCATGATCACATGATGAACCACTTAACAACTGACATGACTTATGATTCTAATTCCAGGCTCAGTTACAGATGTAAGATGAGTATTACCTATAGTTGGAGGAAGAGGCTTTTCTGATAGCTTCTATTAAAAATATCTGATCATAGATAGGTAATTTGATATCTTTAAGAGGTTTGGGATTATATTTCTCCAAATATTAATCAAACAAATGCAGCCTTAGTCAAATTGCAACAAAGGTGTAGTGTATTTATATACTGAATACATATTCCAGCATGTGTGGTCTATATACATTTAATTTTAGCTGCTCTAGCCCTTTTTGTCTTCGAAGAAGTTAAAAATAGCTTAAAAATTAATCTATGAAATAAATGTAAGTTATGTTATTCACTAATTTTTGTCTTTTAATGATTTTCAATCTTTTTTAACAGACATTATCACATTTGGAAAGTAATATAAAATATATCACAGAAACTGTCAAGGTATGTAGCAGTTTTCCTCATTTGCTCAATTTTTTAAAAATTCAATTTGATTTTTTATTTTGATTAGACATTTTGTTTGTCTTAGCTGAATGCTTTCAGTCTGCACCACCTTGATGAGATCAACTTTGATGTCCGTTTGTCAGCATTCCAGGACATCATTTCTCATATCAAAGGGATGAACAAAATAGATGTCAACTATCTCATCCCGGTAATGCATAACTGTTTCTACACTATACAGGTGAGTCCCATTAATATGGAAAATATCTGAGCTGGAAGTTTAATCACATTATAGCTGTTTTGAACTATAATTGGGGATCTGGTTTATGTTTATTTTAGTGCATAGTTTTAACTGTTTCTCCAATTTATAGGATTTATAGGATTATAATCTCATGTGTCCTGATCCTTTTCTTTTGCAGCTAGAGGAAATGGCTTTAAGTGATAATGCTGTCCTCTGCCTGACTGCCATTATTCAAAGATTTTCTGAACTTGAGCATACAGAGGATGAATTCAAGGAAATTATTCAGCACACACTTCTGGATTCTTTGAGAAAAGGACTAAAGAGCAAGATTGAGGTGAAGAGCCCAGCACTCCTGGGCTTTGTGTTATTAAAATCAGGATGAATTGAAAATCTGTGTCTGCAGACCTTATAATTCTCACTTTTATGAAAATAAAAGTCATTTGGAGGACATTTTACTGTATTTTCTGTACCAGCTGTATTTTTAACATGACGTTTATTTATTATTTATGCTTGAATTAATATGAGTCTCAAATTACTAAAGGCTCACAATAGATATACATATAAATGTTCCATTATCTTTTTCCATCACGACTCCTATTTTTCTTGGCCATTCCTTATAACCCATGGTGATCTGAATATGGGGATATATCAATTACGTTAAAGGAGTTAAATTTGGTACACTTTGGGACATTTTCATATATGTAAAAACCTGTTTTGCTGGAAACAGATAGACTTTTAAATCATCATGTGTTTAAGGTCCTACTATTAGCCTACTATTATTACTATTAGTTTAAGGTTCTACTATGGCCATCCAGAGTAGCCCATCAGTGAGATGGGTGGCAAATAAATTTAACAAACAAATATTTATAAAGTATAGATTATCTACTTCCATTATTGCTTCTAAAGTTTAAGTTTATTTAGTATAATAAATATCTGGTATTTAGAAATGGTCACAATTGCCTAGGATAGCTGTTTAAAAGGGAAAATTCGAACAGATTGCTATGAAAAAAAAGTTTTCTGTTTAAAAAGTGGAGGCTATGATATAGTTTAGAATGTCAGATGTAAAAGTAAACCACTTATGTTTTCTTTGCGGTTTCAGTGCATTCAGCAGGATTACACATCATTGCTATCAAACTTGATTCGAGCATTTTCAGAACATCCAGAGTTTCATGACTTGGTCCAGCTGACTGATTATCATGATCCAGAGATGGACTTCTTTGAAAATATGAAGCATATTCAGGTAGAAGGAAAGGTTTTAACTGATTCTTCTAAAGAACCATATGAGTTATTCTGATAGTGATAGCATGAAAACTGATTGCGCTTATTACCTTTTTTTCTGTCGATATAAAATATCTACAATTGATATAAAATATCTTATTTTAGTATTCAAATGCTTGGTGGGCTAAGATCTCTCAATCTTAAGTTCTAAGATAATTTTTATATTCTTTCAGATTCACAGGAGGGCACGAGCTCTGATGAAACTAGCTAAGCAGTTAGTGGAAGGCAAAACCACCCTGAGTTCCAAACCTCTTCAAAATTATATTATGCCTTATGCAACCACTACCATTTTCAATGAGAAAATGCTTAAGGTAAGCTTTTGAACATAAAATGGGTGAAATTATTTCTGCCTCAATGCCTTAAGAACAACTTACTCTTATTGGCTCTACTACCTTTAGTGAATCTCATGGAGAACTATTGTGTTGAAGCTTCACACATATAATGGGGAATGGACATAAGGGGCTTGTTCAGAAAGATTGCTTCCTACCGCCTACCTTCTGAAGAGATCTTGATCTAGCTAAGGGGACTATAGACTTATTTTTATATTAAAAAAGAAAAGCTAGAGAAACAACTTGATGTTGAACATGTTCTGTTTGTTTAAACTTCTGATAATACTCTTTCCCTTAGTATGAAAACATGATAACTGCATCAGTTGAGATGGTGGGTGCTGTCTGCAGACATCTTTCTTGGTCAGCTTACCTCTACCATTTGAAACATTTCATCCACGTACTGCAGACTGGACAGATCAATCAAAAACTAGGTGTCAGGTACATTAAATGCCAGTTGTAAGATTAAAATTATAACCATTTGCATTAAATAAAAATTAATACCATTGGATGCATGGGCCTCTAAACAAATATGAATGATTTGAAGTTTGGAAACTATTCTGCTCTTATATTGATATTTTTAAAAAGTGTCTATGGAGATTCTCAGTCATCCAAGTCATAGTTATCCCAAAGGATTTTTAAAAGTGGTATTACATTATAGTTAACTCTCAATTTCTTTAAGATTATAAAGCTGTTATTTATACTATATTGTTGTGTGTATATTTATTCCATGAGATTTATCTATTAATTCAGACTTATTTTCACCAGGACAATAGTGGCTCAATTTTTCCTTATTTGTACAGAGTGTTTTGTAAACTGTTTGATAAAGTTGGAAACTTGGAACTCAAATGTATTTCTTTTTTTCTTTTTTTTCTTTGAAAGTGTGCTAGTAATGGTGCTGGAGGCTTTTCATTTTGACCATGAAACTCTCGAAAAGCAGCTTTCAATTATTGAAAAGGAAGGTACGTTTTTTTTAATTCCTTAATCTGATTGAGGGTACCTTGGCCCATGGGAATCTATTCTGCTTGAAATCAATTTGGTGCCTTTTACATTTTTTATTAATATCCTGAAGTATTTTGTTACATTTTTTATATCTTTGTCTTATTCCAAAAGGGTATCTTGATTAATTAATGCCATAGTAATTTCATTCATTTTATGTAACTTAATGTAGATGCTGTGGATATCAATCCTGAAGTAGAGAATGAAGCCATGGAGGTGGAACTCAGTGGTGGAGAAGAAGAAAGCCAAAAGACCAGCAAAGAGCAGTCTTGTACCAATGAAGAGAAAGTATATGCTGAATCTAGATCTGATCAGCCTGCTAATGAAGAAGATGAGGATTTCAAGAAAGTTACAAAACCACCCTCATTCCTGCCCAGGAATAAGGAAGAGTTGGAGTGTCTGATTAAACATATTCAGCAGACAGTGACTGGCAATATATTGCCCAAATTGCACAGGTGTCTGATTGCAAAGGTACATTTTAACATTACCTTCTTTTTCTCTCTGAGGCATTTAAGTTGGCCTTATGGGGATTTCTTCTACCTTTATTTTAGAATAATAGTGCAAGAAAAGTCAAGCTGCAAAAGATCATATAGAGAGTTTTATGATTGAAAGAAGTATTAGATTTAAAATGCCTTTAATCCTTGTCCACCAATCTAACTAGACTTTCTTAACATGTCTCCTAGCTAGGGAGTTTGGAATTGCAGTCATGCCAATCTGGAGGAGGCAGATCTAGCTTATAACATTGAAGTAGACTGAGTATAAATTTCTTTCCCAGGATGAAGAAAGATATAAAATGCATCTTATAATAAAATTGTTACTGAGGAATATTTGTTTCGGTACTTATAGGTGAAAAGAGATGAACAGCATAAGATGGTGAAATCCAAGATTGTCAACGATGAAGAGGTAGTACAAGTGCCAATAGCTTTTGCAATGGTCAAGCTAATGCAGTCCCTTCCTCAGGATGTTATGGAGGAGAATTTGCCAGGGTAAATATTATATTTATAATCTACACGTACAGTGCATAAATCATCCACATATAAACCTTTTCAACCTCCACCAACATCACCATATAAATCTTTGGAGATAAAGCATGTCAACATAGTATTAAAATTTTATTACAATTGAAATGAAGCTTCTCCCACTGGTGTTTTGTATTTTTTTATTTGGCATCTTTAGGTAATTGTAGTCTCTCTTTGTTTCCAGCATTCTTCTGAAAGTCTGCTCTCTTCTGAGGAATAGAGCACAGGAAATCCGGGACGTTGCACGTAACACCTTGATGAAAATAATAGAGGCTTTGGGGCCACAATACTTGCAATATGTCTTGAAAGAGATGGTGTCAATCCTTGTCACTGGTTACCAGGTAAGGGGAAGCATAATAGATTTGAGAAGGATTCTGAAATTCCTTTTTCATTCTGCTTTTATTACCAATCCATAATCATTGTAGATAGTGACAGACTGTATTTGCAGAATTATATGCAAGAATGTCTGCATTTTTTCCTAATTAAGCATATCATGTGATAATTGGGTTAGTTGCAGAAACTGCTCAAGGTAAAAAAAAAAAACACTTTAAAATATTAGAAATAACATTAGAAAGTTATTTTGAAAGTTTGAGAAATATAGAAATATAGAATATTACCTTGAAGACTGATCTGCTAGATAACCATAGAAAAATTGTGGAAAGATACAGTACATTGTAGCATTTTGACTTATATTTTTACAATACTTGGTGGTTCTCTTTTCATTTAACAAATATCATGGTCTCTCGTAAATATATAGGTCCATGTGTTAACTTTCACTGTACACCTCTTGCTGAAGAGTCTTGCCAATGATCGACTTAAAGTTGGTGATTTGGATCCATGCATAGAACTGTTGACGGAAGTATGTATTTACAGCATATGAAAAAAATTAAATGCAAAATGATTTAATTTCATCAGGTCTTTAACTTAACTCTTGCAAGGAGAAAATGTTATGTTGGGTAATGCCAAGGTTAAAATTCTAGCTCTCTGAAGAAATCCAGTTCCTGAGCTGTTTCCTTTAAGGAAGAGAAAGCTGTTTGATCTTTAGCTGGGCTTTCATAATGTCCATTTTCATAATTCATAATTTCATTATATATATATATGTGTGTGTGTGTGTGTGTGTGTGTGTGTTTTCTGAGGTTCTCGCGGGTATTTGTATGTGGATCTTTGGTTATTCGGGTTTTCTCCCGCGTAAGCTTGGAAGTATCTAGGCAACGTTTTGATGAAATCTCATTCATCATCTTCAGGCTTGTGTCTTCGGCTCTGTGCTTCTCAGAGTGAT